TTTATCCCCCCCATTCCCCCCCTCTACCTTAGATTGAGTCTCATACCCCCTCAAAATCAACCTCTCCACAGGATTCCACCCCCCCACCAACAACCCCAACCGTGTCTCCTGCCTCTGTCCAACCCGATGAATCCTATAAAACGCCTGCTGATTCTCTCTCTTCGTCCATGTGGGTCCTGTTACAGTGCTGTATTTAGCCTGTTGGAGGTTGAGGCCTGTGCCTGCTAGCGAGAGGGGCGAGATGAGGATGTTGGGGGGGGAGTGGCCGGGAGTGAGGAATTTCGTGAGGTGGGATTGCGTGGTGGAGGGGGGGAGGGAGGTATGGAGGAGGATTGGTTCCATCGGGGGGTTGCTACTACCGGCGGGGGAAGAGAAAGAAGGGTCGGAGCGTTTAAGGTAGACGTAAGCGTGCAACAGCACAGCTTCCGCCTCAGTCGAGGTGAAGACACACATCTTTTTGGTGGTGGTTCCCGCTGCGGCACCGGGGACGGGGGTGCGGTCGGAGAGCATGGTTTGGATGGTTGCGGTTAAGGTGGTCAGTTTGGGAGAGGCGGCGGACCAGGAGGGGATGTGGGAATAATAAGGGGTTTTGGTGATGTCGTTTTGGGCGGCGGACAGAAAAGTGGCGAGTTCGTAGGGGGAGAAGGCGAATTGGGACAGGACGGGGGAGGCGGCGAGGGAGGGAAAGAGGGAGGTGAGGCGGAGTTTGAGGAGGAGGGGTTCAGAGAGGAGGGGGTTGCGGAGGAAGCGGGGGACGGACATGTTGTGGGTGGCTGCGGCGGTTTTGACGAGGTCGCGGGTGGTGAAGGCTAAAGTCTGGACACTGTCAACCAGAAAATCCGGGAGCTGGTGGTCGGTGATGTGGACTTGGAGAGGACCGAGGTCGGTAAGGTTGCGGCCTTGGAACTGGTCGGTCCCGAGTCGGCGGATCATGGTATGGCGGAGGATGTTGTCGAGACGACGGCGGTACTCGGCGATGCTGGGTTTGTCGACGACGTCCCCGGCTGCTTGGATGGCTGTGAGCCGGTCAAAGGTGTGGACGAGGGAATCGAAGGCGTCGACGGTAGCCCCGCGCAGCGGGTGGTCCTTGTCGTGCCAGGCTGTTTTCTCTAACAAGGCCACAGCCGGACGGATATCCAGCGGTGTCTGACCCAGCGGAGTGCCCGAGACAAAGTAGGACAGGGGGGTTAGCTGAGATGAGCCTAAGCAGCACTTCTTGAGGTGCATCAGCCATGCAACGGTGTGACTGTGTTCGGGATTATCGGCCCTCGCGATAGCATACTCGTGGAACTCATCCAGCAGTATCATTCCCGGTAGGAGAGCTGATTTCCTAGCTCTCTCGCCCGACTCAAGCCGAAGGTCGACCGTAATCTGATTATTCAAGCGAGCAATGTACTCGGGCGATACCACGATGATGTAGTCGCTCTGCCCAGCCACAGCCTGGTATTTAAATTCATACCCGGCTCGTCCATCTTGACCGGGTTGACCCTCGACATCACTCTTCCTAACCGTGACCGACGCGCACAGGGCCTTAACATCCGCCGCCGTCAGCCCATCCTCCTTACCCGCACCGTCGTGGAACCCCCTGATCTTAAAGACCTTAGTGTCGAGTTTAGTCTTCGCATCTCAAACCAGTCCCGCACAGTTCCGACCCGGGGCCACCACAATGTTTGGCCCATCCGGAATACGGTCCGCTAGCTCCCTAGTCAGTGCCGAGTAGCAATAACACCGGAATCCATACCGCTCGTCAAACGGACACCCCCTGGCCTCCGTGGTCCCAGGCGGGTTATGCCCACTCGGCCCTCCTCTACCCTTACCAGTAGTACCAGTAGTGTTAGTATTAACAGCCGTGGTGCCGGTAGTCCCAGTCTTCTTCTTCTCCGCCCCCTTTCTCCACGCAGCCTTGACTTCATTCTTAGCCTTCCTCAGCACCTGTGCAAACGCAATAAGACCATACATCTCCTGTGTCTTGCCCAGCCCTTTCTCGTCACACAGCAGTCCGCCGGATACATCCTTCAGTATAAACCGTAGTAGTCCGACTACCCCGGCGAGTTGGTAGTCGAACAGACCGACGGTCATGCCGGGGAGTTTCTTCATCGGGACTCTCTTGCGTGCAGAGCCACTACCGCTATTAGCTGGAGAAGGAGAACCAGAACCAGAACCAGAACCAGAAGCAGCAGCCGCAGCAACAACCTCCCTCTTCTCCCGTCTAGCATACTCCCCAGGATCAATACAAAAGAAATCCAACACTGCATTCCACTCTTTCGTCGAAGAGCCCTTATCATTATCCTTATCATTATCCTTCCCGTTATCCTTCCCATTATCCTTCTTATTATTCCCCCCGCCTATACCCCCATCATAACTCCCAAGATAGGTATCGACAGCCGCGTTGGGGTCGATGGCCCCGTAGTCGGTGTCTGAGGTTCTGGATGTGTGGTAGTCGGTTGTGAGGAGGTCCATGAGGGTGGTGTGGTCTGCGGGTTTGGGGGGAGGTGGTCTTTTGCGGGGGGTTGATGTGGGTGTGGAAGTTGGGGGGGAAGTAGGTGTGGAAGTTGAGGTAGATTTGGGTGTAGTGCTGCTGCTGCTGCTGTTGCTGCTGCTGCTGCTGGTGGTACCGGTAGTGGGAGTGCGGGAAAAGGGGGCACGACGGGTGGTGCGAGTTGGAGTAACGGTGGGGGGTGTTGTAGTTGCTTTTGGGGGAGTAGTAGTAGTAGTAGTAGTAGTACGGGTGCCCCGGGCTGGGGTTGGCAGGGTAGTGGGAGTACCCCGGGGAATGGTACTGCGGGTAGTGGGTTGGGTTGTTCGAAGAAGGTTGCTGGCTGTCTTCGGAACATTGCCAGCCGCCTTAGAGACAGGAGTCCTAGGGGCAGCCGTCTTAGGGACAGCCGTCTTAACCACCCCCGTGACCGTACTGCAGACCGTACTGCACAAACGCAAGCACATGTCGGCGGCGGTCATACCCGAATCGCAAGGTCAGCCAGGCCTCGACGGCGGACCAGCGGTACTCGCGCGGGTCGAAGGCGCGGTCCAGTTGCCGGGTTTCAGGGGGGACGAAGTCGGTTAGGGACTTGCGCCATTGTGAGTTGGTGTCCCAGCGGATGATGTTGAGCCAGAGGGAGGCGAGGTCTTGGTAGCGGCGGGATATTTCGGCCATGGTTTTGGGGGACATGGTCATGATAGGCTTTAAGGGTTCTTGCACTCTGATATGGGTCTAAGTAATCACTAGTGATTTGTTTGATGATTATTGATGGTTTGAGTATTAGACGAGTCAGGCGAGTAGCTTATATTAATACCCAACATAGACTACTCGTCTCTGATTATATCAACTGTAGCAGTAATAGACAGCACTGTCCCTTTCTCTATCCCAACAAAGACATTGTGAACCAACACAAGAGGTTGTACGGAGCATTAAGCAATCAAGCACAAAGACCCATTCACACACGGACTCGACAACAAAAGCCTCCTGCTTTGTTCTTTGGCTCGTTTATCAACGGACAACTGACCTCACGAAGAAAGGAAAACCGCGACAGACATACCAGATTGAACAGATTGAACAGAATGGTTTTAATCAACAGAACTATTCACCTCACGAACAACCAACCCACACCGCGATAATTTAAGTAATATAAGATGGACGATATGACCATCTCAAAGGAGGACCTCATACAACCCACCTCCCCACAACCAACATTTTCATTCCTAACCTCACCGGCTTATCCCAAACCACGCAAATCAGACCCCAAATCCAGATCCAAAACCTCACGCGACAGCACCCAAAACAGAGTCCACAAACTCTCCTCCAGACCACCCTCATCCAAACCACCCTCATCCAGACCACCCTCATCCCGACCACCCTCCTCCCGATCGAGATCCTCCATCTTCAAATCCAACAACAAATCCACCACCACCACCAGCAAATCCAACAAATCCAACCCCCCCGTCTACCCCTACTCCCTTCACTCCCGTCCACACCGCGGCCTCCGCTACACAGCCGACACCCTCGACCGTCTCATGCGCCAAATGCAACGCCTCGGTCTTGATAAAACTCCCAGTCTCCGGCCGATTCTGATTCCGACGAGTCCGAGTCTGAATCCGAGTCTGAGTCCGAGTCTGCGTTCGAGTCCGAGTTCGAGTCCCGGTATGAATTCTTCTTCTTGTTCGACTTTGTCATCTCCCGGTGGTCTCGGTGGTGGGTGTGACGGTGACAGCACCATCACGACCGATATCAATACCGTTCCACCAACCCAAGCAGAACAAAAGGAGAGACGGAGGCCAGAGAAGGAAGTGACAGCCTTCTGGCAGCAGATTCGGCACCAACTGCGCGTAGACGATAATGAATTCTGGTCGGAGGGAAAAGACGAAACCAAAAGATTGGCTGTGAGGCAGAAAAGATGCAGACCAGTGAGCAAGAACGGACCGAAAGTGGTGAGTTTGCATGGGTGGCGGGGGAGGATGCCTTTGCAGGTCGCTGCAGCTGCAGCATAATTACTAAGGATATACAAAACTTACAACACGCTTAGCAAAGTTTCGACCGGTCGAGATAGGAAGGAGTGCCTAATCGGGAGATCAGACGGGTCAGATATTGTGATGAAGCAGTGGTAACTGTTGAAAGAGAGGAGGTCCCGTCCAGTTGGGTAAGAAAGACCCAGGTAATTACAGTACCTAGTAAGAGGTGAGACTACCATGTAACATAGGGCAGAAGAAGTAGCTGAATAAGAAGGAGGAATAAGTCATATCGGCAACGACAGGATCAATCATGAGACAAGGACAGGAAGCAGAGAGTTAAACGCCGACAAAGGTATCATTTATGCACTGGTATCAACATGTCTCGCTGTGGCCAAAAAAAAGCGGTACACTCACTTAAACAGATAGCTCAAGTCCAATCCATTGACATGCGATCAAATCTTGGTAAATTTTGATTGATATAACTACTCTTTTTTGTCTGTTTCCACTTTCTAGATTTATTCTTTTTTCTCTTCTTTCCCTAATTTTGTTTTATTCTTTTTGGTCTTTTTTCACTTTTCTAGTAAAGTAAGTTATCCAGGGGACTTGGTCTGCCGCTTTTTTTTGGCCATAGCGAGGGTGGGTAGTAAGAGGCGAGAACACCAGGCAACATAAGACAGAAGAAGTAATAGTTGAATAAGAAGTAGGAGTGATTGTATCAGCAACGCCAGGATAAATCAAAAAGTGAGGACAGAAAGCAGGGAGTTAAACGCTAACAACGGCGTCGTCCATGCATATCAACACGCACATACATAGAGCGGGAAACGCATCTTGAGTAGAAATTACGATGGCAAGAATGGAGAACCAAACCAGGTACATGCCATCAGACATTGAAAATATGATTATATATACTCCGAACCAAAGAAAACCTGCAATGGATCGATCCAGCGTCGTACTGTTGTACACTAAAATCACAATCAATAGCCCGCTCCCGACCATGGAAGGAAAGAGCCCCCGTAGAGATAGCCGCCTTCAGCCACCACCGACGTACAATGTCCACCTATATCCCAATCCATCCGTCCAACCGGCCCGAGAACGCCATGAGCCACCTCGGGGATTGATTAGCCCACCATCCCATGTCATTTCCAAAACCATGAATGGATGCCGGCCGACCATGATCTACCATTCCCAAAATTCCGGTTATATGCCCTTTTGATTTGAGATTGTGGTGTATATTCGTGTGTGTCCGTAGATGTGTGTGTATAAGTCCGCATGGGGTGCGTCAAGGCCCCCGAGTCCCTCAAGCAATAGCCAACCGATCAACCTCCCCCCTAACCTTCTCCAGCCATGCATGTTCCCGTCTCCGCTTCGTCAACTCCTCCGCCTCGCCAGCCCATCCGTGCCGGCGCATCGAATCCTCCAAGTGAATCGACCAAATCGCGTACTGCTCATCTGACGACAACTCCAGCCCCCGACGCCCCCAGTGGAATGCTTTCTCCCATTGGCCCCGCGCCTCGTAGTAGTCGTACAGCCAACCGACATATAAACACTCCATCATGCGGGCAAACACGATTGGGAACCCCCCAGAGGCGACCATTTGTTGGAGCCGCGTAATAAACCCTTCGCAGCGCTCCACAAAGTCGGAAGAGAACCGGCGATGCAGCCATTGTAGCGCTGTCTCGTCGCTGATCGGGTCGTGCATGATGAGCTTCTGCGCCCAGTAGACACTCTGCGCTTCGAGGCGAAGCATGTGGTTGTCGTGGCCCTCACTGCTTGTGCTCGAACCGCTGCTGCTACTCGTGGTTGAGACGGGTGACCGCCAGGGCTCGGGCGCATTCGTCCGCTGGCAGGCCAAGTATTGGTTGCGCGCCCATTCGACGGTGCGATCGAGCACCCCGGGAAGAGCGCCGATGGTGTCCGAGTTAACCTGGGAAAGAAGCATGATAAAGCGCATGGCATCCTCCGGCCGTTCTTCGACGAGGGTGGCGAATGATGCGGCAAGCTCGGGAATGGGGTGGTTGCCGAACTTAACGGTGGCGAGGCGGGAGAGGTAGTTTAGGTAGGCGGAAAGGATATCGCGGCGGCCGGATTCGTGAAGGAGATGGGGAACGAGGATGCAGAGGTCCGAAAAAGATTTCATGGTGGGCTTGGAGATTTTGCGTTCGATTTGGAGAAAGGCGAGGCGGAGCACTCGGCCGCCTTCAAGGTTCTCGTTCAGATCAAAAAGGTCCATGGCGACCCTAAAGTAACGGTAGCAAGGGTCCACAAAACCGGCCACCTCTTCTACTTGGAGATTCGCAGGCTCGAGGTCGACGTGGCCAAGAACGAAACGCCGGACTGCCGTGAGACCGGATTGTAAACTGCGTGTCCCATTATCTGCGTGTAATAAGTTGTCTCGGGAAAGGACGAGAGCGCCGTCGAGTGAATCGTCCGAGCTTTGGTCTATTGGTGATTCAACTTTGGCTCGGGAGCGTCCTTTGATAGCGTATTTGAAGAAGCCCCAACGCTGCACATCATCTGCCGTCAGTTCTTGCGGTTCTAAACGTAAACCTCCCTTTTCATGCCTACGAAGACAGGCATAGGACTGAAACAGACAGGTATGGATTGAAACACTCACAGCAAATTGATTCTTAAACATCTTCGACGTCGCCCGAAGATTGTGCTTCGTCTCCATGATACCAATTATATCCCGGAGAATCCGATTTTGGGTGATGTACAACTCGTACAAAACATCCTTCCACGGGTCCCAGTCCTGGTTCTTGCGCGGGATGATAGGCTGCCCAGGCGTCGGCGGAGACTTCACCTGGCTGCCTTTGGAAGATGCCGATGCCCCCTTCCCAACAACATGCTTTCCGGTTCGTTGCTGAGCCACGGCGGCCTTGCGCGCGGCAACGCCGGTCAATTTCTTAGACGGGCCGGCCGACCCGGGCTTTGGCGGGCCGCCCCCTATCCTGAAAGGTGTGGCATGGCTGGAAGATGGGCTGGTGGATTCCTCTTTGATGAAAATTTGGATATCCTGCTCGTCGAGGATCAGGCCAGTGAGGGTCTCAGCAGTCGCAAGAAGGGCCTTTGCATCGCCCTCCGCGCTCGGACTCCGTTCCATTGGCGGGATGCTGGTCTGATACCTTTATGGCGGAACTACTCCGCAGTTAACGAAACCGCGGGCCGTAGCAGCGAGTACCCAACAACACGGACGTAGACGCCAAAGCGTTTACGCAGTGCACCCACTACCGCCTGCTGCTACTGGTGCTGCTGCTGCTGCTGCTGGTGCTGCTGCTGCTGCTGTCGTTGCCGGACGATGATCCGGGCTTTCGGATCGGCTCACGCGAGAGCGGGAACCGGTACTTCGTCGTGGTGGTGGAGTGGGTACGGTAACTGGGACACGGTCGCCGATCGGCACCGACGACAAGACCATTGTCGGGTGTCCCCAGTCGACACCTCGTGGCCTTTGGCGGCTGCGCGGTGGTTGCGCTGCAGTTGCGGTGGTGAGATCCCTGGACCGAGGGTTGATAAGTCGTCAAGTCGTCGAGGGGTGGTGGTGGATAAGCAAATCGGCGCGGCGCATGCACGTGGGGACGGGAGGTTCCGGTCGAGGCCGTCCCTCTTAGTCAGGTATTATTGATCGCTTTTTCGTAAGCAGGAAATGCCAAAAGCTGACGTCTAGTGTACACTAGACGGAAAGTTTTAAATGCAGGCGGCACAGTTTGTGGACGTCAAAGGTGGCATGCGCGGAACGGGAAGACAAGGGAAGCGCAAAAAGCGTGGACAGATGCTGCCATTTTACGAAGATTGGCCCGGCCCACAGTGCCACCACCCCGCCAAAAGGAGCCAAAGTTGCCCCCCGAGTCCCCTTCGCTCCCGCTTCCCGAAGCCAGGATGAGGATCGGGTCAGGGCCCAATCAAGAGTCCGCGGCCCCTAGGGCCCCAAGCACTCGGCGTTCACGGCGCGTCCGTGCTCCGTTCCCCAAGCTTCCCCCCCCCTTGACACCCGCTGCAAGAGCAGTCCCACCCCCGGCCTGCCTACCTTCTTTGGCAACTTGACAGCTTCCCGTCCATCTCCAGGACTCGAACCGAGCGAAGCCTCGGGAACCGAGACTTCCAAGTGGGATGAATCCGTGATGGAGTGCGCCTCCACCCCCTGCGGCAGTTGTAACTCCATCTTTTCGGCTAAGAGAGAGACAGGAATAATTAAATGCAGCTAGCCATTATCCGCATCACGATTATCTCTCGCTTCTCACATTAATTTATCTGATCGGCCATCTAGCCTCTCATCGGTGTCCCTGCGTTGAAGCCTGCAGAGGCTGCAGGTCAATCGGCTGTCACTTGGAACCCTGCTTCCGCACACGCTACGGATAACATAAGCTCCGATCCAACAGACTGACTTCAGATCGAATGCTCGCATTTCCACCAGAAATGAGTGATTGCGCTCGGAGACGTGCCGCTTCTTTCATTCCTTTTCACTTGTCTAGCATGCATGTTCCACCACCTCGAGGGCTCTGGGTACGGATTAAGCTTTTCCGAATCTTATTTCCTGTACTGGCGGGCTCTCGGCCGAAAGAAGTGGTTGTGTGGAAGCAGTCGCATGATCCCCCTCCACCTTTTATTTCCACATCACGAGCTTGGCCATCAGTTCCATGTCAGCCACTACACTAGTTAGCGCGGTCAAACCGGGTTGTCTATTCACAGGCGGCTCTCGTAGTTTTTACTGTATACGGTTTAGAGAACTGTATACGGTTTAGAGACCAACAACATGCTTTACCGCCTGCTCGATGGTGTCATCCGAAGCGTATTGGTTCTGTGCAGCTTTCAGCTCCTCCCCCCACGCGTTCCATCGATCCTCATTGAACCCCTTCCACTCACGCTCCGCATACTTGCCCGCAGGCGCCCCCAACCGCCCACTCAAGGCGGTGGCGTCGACTGACAATTGACGGAGGCGGTCCCCGGCAAATCGCACCCACAGCGCAGCCAGCCGAGCCGCGGGCTGCGAGGCGGCGCCTTGTTGGTTCGTCTCGAATGCATCACGCATCGCCCACAACGCAAACGTTGAGAAGTCAAACGGGCTGTCGGTCGCTCCGGAGGCAGATCGCGCTGTGAGTTGCGCAAGGAAAGCTGTCCAGTTTTCCACCTTGGCACGGTCTTCTGCTGAGAGGTTGTTCGCATCTGCCAGTTCCCGTCAGTCATGACGGTTGCGGGGTTTGCCAAAAAGGGAAAATATGAATCCTTCACAGGGTGAAACGATAATAGAACATGGGATGGAAATGAAAAAACAAAAAAAAGCTCGTCCCGTACCGAAATTCCACAGATCCCTCGCTACCCACCCAAACGAAGGGAGGTCGTTCCACACCTCGCCATCTTCATGCTTCAGGGTCTTCCCGTCGTTGTCCGTCGCCTTAATCGCCTGGAGCTGGGTCAGGAAATCGAGCAGCTTCCCCTGCTGCGCAGCCGGGGTTCGCCCGACGGCCTTGAAGACGGCCCCGAAGGCGTCCCAGAGAAAGTCTCCGAGGGCGGACGAAGCTGGGCCAGCCGCAGTCGCAGTGTTATCTCCGCCATCTTGCTTCTGCTCCTGCTCCTGATCCTGCTGCTGGTGCGGTCGATACTGCTGTTGCGCCAGGTCGTTGAACCCCTGCACAGCCGCTTGGACCGCATCGTCAGACGTTGCGGAGGAGGGGCTGGCACCCGCGAGGGGCTCCAGAAGTTGTTGGACCGGGGTTGCGCTCATCTTGGGCAATATTTGCTGAGGGGTCGGTTTCGCTCTCTGTGGGCGGTTATTATTCGTGGAAGCGTATGCGACGGGCCGATTTCGTGGTTCAACCGAGGGACTGCGATTGCAAAGCCGGGTGATCGCATGAAGTTGTCTCGCGCGCAGTAGCAATTTCATGGGAAGAACCAGGCAGCAAAATTATTTGTAGTGGGCTAGCGACGAGGAGGTTGCATTTGATCTCGGCCAGTCTCGGCGGGTGGGTTGACGTCAGTCCCCCTATTACCTTCCTACACTGGCTCACTGGTCGTTCCCGTCAGTGGAAGCAACGTAAAATTCGCCGGGTTTCGTCCCGTTCCACTTGAATCCGCTACGGTCGCTTGCAGCAACACGTGGCTGACGGCTCACTCTCATTCAACTGGAGATTTACGGGCGGCAGATGTATGCGCAGCGACATGCATGCTACGATACAAATGCGGAGAGGTAGGTATCAAGGAAGAAATGCCGAGCCGCAACGCGAGATGTCTATTTCCAAACGCCTCCTCCACGCGTCTCGATATTTCCCTTTCCAACCAATTTGCTCCCCGGCGAGCCCAGTGTAGCCATCTATTCATAGAACAGCGCACCCCGTCAACAAACACGATGGAAGCGAAGGCCGGATCTTGGGAGCGCGCCGATCCGAGTGGAGCATTGGGCTTGGCGGGCGACTTGCCCCGAAAACAACCCTAGCGTCGCGTGATTGAACAACTCGGCATCGACGATCGGCCCGTCGGCCGCGGAGTGTTGATTTTTTCCCCCTTTTCATTTCCCAATTGGCGTGTGCAACCGCCATCACAACCTCCGTCTGCACCGCACAACTAACCCTCCCCTGCCGGTTACACTCCTCCGCCACGCAAACGCTCACGCAACCCCCAATCTCACCCCAATCATTCACCCCATCTGACCCCTACATACGAATACCCAAGTCACCTCACTGTAACCGACCGTAACCATGCATCTTCCCGCTCTTACCCTCACCCTGCTTGCGGCAGCGGCAACCGTTACGGCAAATTCACTCACCCCCGTCCTGGAACGGCGTCAGGGGACCACCGGCCTGGGGCATGTCACATGCGGCACGACGACCTACAACAAGGCGGCCATCGACGCCGCTGTGGCCGAAGGGTGCCAGCTGTATGCGGATCGCGAGACGCTGGGGTCCAGCAAGTACCCGCATCGGTTCAACAACCGCGAGGGGTTGCAATTCGCGGTGGCCGGGCCATATCAGGAGTTTCCTATTCTGTCGAACGGGAAGGTCTACTCTGGGAGTACGTAATCCCCTCCCTCCCTCCCCCGTTAGCTCTTCTAGACCATGGTCTAGCCTACGGAAGACCCCTCAACCCCCAGCTGCCCAAGAATTCCAAACGTTCACATCCCATTAACCCCCATCCGCAGGAGCTCCCGGGGCAGACCGCATCGTCTTCAACCCCAACTACCAAGGCGAATGTGTCTACGTCGGCGCCATGACCCACACCAATGCCCCGACCCGCAACGGCTTCGTCGAGTGTGTCGAGGCTAGCGGCGGCGGCGGCGGCGGTAGCGGCGGTTCCACCTCCAGCACGAGGACTACCGCGCGGCCTAGCACCACCGTTATTACGGGGACGGTGACCACGGGGACTGCGGCCAGGACTTCTTCGGCTTCGACTTCTAGTTCGACTGGTGCCGCGGCCACTCAGGGGCTGGTTGGCATGGGTGGCCAGGGTGTGTTTGCTGGTGTGGCGGCTGGGTTGCTGTTGTTGTAATGAATGTAACATTTTGGCTGCAGTAATGGAAAGTTGTTTTGGGGATGTGTGGGTGGACAGCAAGTGGGTTATGTTGGGTATTGGATGTATGTAAATGAAACAGCGTGTATATTTCTCAAAGCATGGTCGCTTTCTGAGCGTGCCGAGCGACATACGTAGTTAAAGTGCAAGGGGGTCGAGCGCGAATGGGGATAATTAATACATGTCGCGAACTCCTCGTAAAAACCTGGCACCCGGAAAGAAGTTCGTGTGGACGACAACGATACAGACTTTGCAATGCCTTAGGCCCCCAACAGTTCAATGGGCGAAACCAGCACCGACAAGAACGGCAGCGAACATTTGTAACACATGTTGAACAGTGTAACGGAAGCGCCAAAGGTAACGCTGGGATTTATAACATCCCCTTAAACCATCTGGAAATGCATTGAGTGATGCTGTGAGCAAGCAAGTGTTAGATAATAACTCTGATTCCCTTATGATATGTCAGCCTTATGATATGTCAGAATGTGGTTCTTTGCCTGCCGGACGAGAATCTTCAACCCATAATGGCAGTCGTTGCCGCAGTTATTCGGCAGGCAACGTGCGCGAAACTATCCTTATATGGGTTAATCGTTGCCAGCTGACATGATGTCCGTTCCCATTGCCCTAAAGTCTCAATGTCGAGGCTTAAACAGGACAGCTCTGTGAGAGAAACCCAGGAGTCTCTTTTTTTCCTTTGGTTAGATAGATGTGTCACTTTCAGGATCTGTCTTTTGAAAAAATTTGGCTTGCGGCCCTCAGCAGAGGGGTCCAAAGTTGTTGCTTGGTCATGGTGCTGCGGTTGGCGAGGGTTGGCGTGGTTGGCACAATGTTTGCTTGTCGACGTCATGAGCCAACCCAATTGGTGGGGTGATAACACAAACCACTGTAACGGCAAAAAAAGCGAACAAAGGGTCCATGTAGTCCCCTGGACACACCTGGAACGAATGTCTCACGATTCTTCAAGAAAGAAACTACAATCCCGGTGGCATCTGGTCCGGGACAAAGAATGAAACATCAAAAAAGTCTGCAGCATGAGATGCACGTGGGATTCGGAAGCTTCCGGCCGAACAAAGCGAAGCTGAAGGTTGCTGAGAAGGCTTGACGGTGTCAGGTCACGTGTGATCATGGCACCGGGCTGCGGGTTGCGGGCTTCACGAAACTGCCAACTGCCGCTTCCGATTCGGAAAATCGATTGGACAAGGATGATCATGAGCGCTCCCCACTTCCAGCCACGCGCCTCAATCGCTTGTCGAGCCGCAGCCGCCAACGCCAACGTGCACACCTTGCGCTTCCATGGTTTCTGGTGACAAGACGCCAAACTAAACCGTCAAGTTTCCTTCCCTCTTGACCGCCGTGGCCACCGAACTAAACCCTTGCCCATCGCATCGCGCCGGAGATTTTTGTATTCTGGCGATCGCAGCGCACCGCTTACTTGTTGCTGTTGCTTCGGCGCTGGTATAACCCGTTTCGCGGTACGGATAGCTATCGCATGGTGATGTACTGCGAAAGCCGAGCCACTTTTTGACGTCGGTCCAACTCCACTCTCCAGATACCCGGGCCTTCGCACGTCCACGGCGCTCGATCTCATCTTTCCCGCACTTCTATATTTTTGGCCCAGCGTGCTCCATTCTTGAACCAACGCCCCCTCGCCCGGCGCACTCTTTCAATCTCTTCGCCTTAAACCCGCCCACAATCATTGTGCCAGGCGATTTTTCGGCCTCGAGATCTCGAATATACCGCCTCATCGTAGGCCCCTTCGCTGCGCTACCGCGGACGCACCCGTTCCGCCCTGTCGGTTTATCAACATGTCCGCTCCTTGTATGTAGAAGGGGTACAGGAGCCGGATGGGAAACCTTTCATTGATGCATGGTGCACCTGCTAACCAACCCGGGATGGTAGTGTCTGATGAGGAGACGGTGACCTATACCCGTATTATTGATAGCATCCTCGCGGAGTCCGACCTTAGCACCGTCACTAGGAAGAGGATCCGGCAGGGCCTGCAGGAGGCCATCGGCGAGGACCTCAGCTCTCAAAAGGTTCGCGCCCGGACACACATCCTCTTTCTACCCCGCGGTCATGGTCATGTAAACTAACCATCCCGCCTACCCAACAGGACGCCATCAAGATACTGATCGAGGACCGCTTTGACGCCGCTTCCACCGCCGCTGCCGAGGCCGAGGCCGACGCTGTGGGCCAAGGTTTCGAGCAAAATGGGACAAATAGCGACAACACGACACCCTCCGCGGAAACCCACGACGACGGGGCCGACAACAACGATGACGCCATCCGTGTGTCGCTGCCGCCAGCAAACAAGAAACAGAAGCGGGAAAGCTCTAGCGAAGAAGCCGACGCGCGCCTAGCGGCCGAGCTACAGGCGCAAGAGAATCGTCTTTCGCGTGGGCGGGTCACGCGTGGCGCCGGCAACAGCTCGGCCAAGAATGGCCGGGCCAAGGCGAAACCTAGGACGACCAAGAAAAAGAGCGCAAAAAGGGTACGGTCGGATGATGATAGCAACGGTGACGATTCGGACGCCAGCGCGAAGCCCAAGCGCAAGGCCGGGGGCGGCTTTCAGAAACCGTTTAATCTAAGCCACTCGTTGGCGGATGTGTGCGGGGAGAGTCAGGTTGGTGACCTTGGTTTTTGTTGACCTCCTTTTTGCCATGCCTAGCTTGCTAACCGTATTACTTGTAGCTCTCCCGTCCGCAAGTAGTCAAGAAAATCTGGGACTACATCAAGGGCAACAGCTTGCAGGATCCCAGCGATAAGCGACAAATCCTGTGCGACGAAAAGCTGCACGCCGTCTTCAAGCAAGACAAGGTTAATATGTTCTCCATGAATAAGCTGCTCGGCAACCAACTATATCCTGTTGAGGAGTGACCATCTCGACGGCCCTCACCCGGGATTTCTTTTTGACCTAATGTGGGTTGGCCCGGATTGGACGGCGTCTTGGGACACGTTTTCTTTCCCCTTTTATCTGCTCTAAGAGTCTTCATTCCTGTCATTTTTTACCTCTCCCTCTATTGGAGTTTCCCAGTTGGCTTCATACCCCTCGTTCGGAATGGGTGGGAGTTTAGGCGCTCGGCAACTCAAGGACGAGATGCCCTGCAGTCTCGGGATCCCGATTGGACAGCCTCTTCTTTTGGTCCAGTTGACGACCATCACCCAGGTTCGAACTGACGTAACGACTTTCGCGTCCGGTACTTTCCACGTTCGTCTCGGTTTTTGACGGCCATTCTTTACCCTCCTTCCCCCTAGCACGCAGCATCTCAGAGCCACGACTCCAAGTCTCCAATGTTGATAGAGCCGAGCCGCAACGATGTATGGAACCTAGGGGTTGGGTGGGAGGAGGCACCACATCGAATTATTGCTACCGTTTTTGCATAGCATCAGGTATTTTTGTATTTTGTACTGTGCTTTTATTTTTTTCTTTCTCTTTTTTTTGTTCTTATACGTTCTCCGGACCTTGGAAGGGCCGGACTAGGTTAGGGAAAAGCATGGGGAGTTGGAACCGCACGCGCACGTCTGTACATAAGTATTCGCTGCGGGCGAAACGATGAGAATCAAGACTACGCGTATTCGTTGAACCCAGGCTAGTGATTTTTGGATCTGTGAAACTAGTTTGGATGTGATCCGCTTGTGGCAGTTCTCGGGAAGCAGTAAGAATATCACGGGCCCTTTCATGGCTGTTGTTGACGCACGCTACCTCTGATTTAAGGTACCTCACTATGGCCAAAGACAGCGACACACTAAAACAGATAGCTCAAGTCTAATCCATTAACATTCGATCAAATCTTAATAAATTTTTGTTGATATACTCTTTTTTGTCTTTTTTTTCACTCTGGATTTATTCTTTTTTGCCTTCTTTCACTTTTTTTGGTTTATTCTTTTTGGTCTTTTTTTTTCACTTTTCTAGCAAAGTAAGTTATCCAGGGACTTGGTGTGTCGCTTTTTTTGGCCATAGCGAGGGTACCTAGCAGCCCAGATATTCAAGATCGATGTTGAAGGGGCTGTGCTGTTGCTGGTTGGAACGGACAAAGCCTTGCCATCTGCCCCGAGAGAGTCAGCTTTGGTAGCCCAGCCACAGTTTTCGCCTCGAGCCCACAAACTCAGGCGGATTTTTGTTGTTGTTTCTTGCTGTCAGCAGTCGGTTGGCCTCACCCATGGGCCATCAATCATTCATGATGACACACAGCACCAATGGCACCCATGATTCGTTTCGTGGTGTGACACACCCGGCGAGAGCTGGGGGATTTACCCCGGCTAGATCCGCAGCGGGGCCCACCCTGGGCTATGCCAATCACTGCCGGAAAAAGTATTTTGCCCCTGGAAGCCGACAGTCAGTTGCTGATTAAAATCATTCGAGAGCTCTCGCAAGTCGACCCCACCATCTCGACAACACAGCAACCACGCCGTAGCAACCAACTCCCTCAAGACCGACTTGGCTTCGGCTGGCTGCGCGCCGGCGAACCTCAACTCAACATCGATATCCGCGCTCTGTTTTCTTCTCTTTCATAACCTGTGTCCTTGGTTTTGGCGACAAACTCCGAGCATTACAGATCAGCTAGGACCATCAACTCCGTTTGTCGTTTTCGCAAATCCCCCTCGATCCATCGATACAAACAAACCGCCAGCCGCATCGCTCCTAGCATGGCTTCAACTGGGCCCAACGCTTCTGCCGCTGACAGCGCGCCTTCAGGGCCCCGGGCTGACGGGTCTAGAGGCAGAGGCCGCGGCGGACGAGGAAGAGGTCGCGGTCGAGGGCGGGGCAGAGGAGGAGGAGGGGCACATCACCACAACACACAACATCCACCAGTCGAGCAGTCCGAGGATGGGCCACGGCCACCGCCGCCAGCTGGGAAAATCCCGAATTTCAAGATCAAAAACGAAACACAAGAAGGGGCTGATGACGATGATGTCGAGGTCTGCTTCATCTGCGCCAACCCTGTTATTCACCACTCGGTTGCTCCGTGCAATCACGTAACATGCCACATTTGCGCATTGCGCCTGAGGGCGTTGTATAAGAACAAGGATTGCCCACATTGCAGGGTATGTTGTTTGGAATCAGCTGTGAAGGCTGCTTGATAGAACTACAGTTCGTTTGCTGACCTGCTACGTTTACCAGACTTCCGCACCATTCGTCATTTTCAGCGACGACCCCACAAAGCGCTTCGAAGACTTCACCGACGCCGATATCACGAGCACTGACGACAACATTGGCATTCGATATGCTAGCGAGGACATCGTCGGTGACACCGTCCTGTTGTTGCGGTACAACTGTCCCGATCTCGAGTGCGATTTTGCCGGTCTCGGTTGGCAGGACCTGCACCGCCACGTTAAGAATACCCACAACAAGAAGATGTGCGATCTGTGTACCCGCCACAAGAAGGTCTTCACACACGAACACGATATGTTCGCTGACAAGGAGTTGACCGAGCACATGCGCCACGGCGACGACAAGCCAGGCGCGGCCGACCAGACAGGTTTCCGCGGCCATCCGCTATGTGGCTTTTGTGGCGCGCGGTTCTACGACAGCGACAAGTTGTATGAGCACTGCCGGAATAAGCACGAGCGTTGCTTCCTTTGCGATCGCCAAGACTCACGCCAACCTCACTATTATCTGGATTACAATGCGCTTGAGGAGCATTTTAAGAAGGAGCATTTCATCTGCTCGGACCGGGAGTGCTTGGAGAAGAAGTTTGTTGTATTTGCGTCGGAGATGGACCTCAAGGCTCACCAACTGAGCGAGCATGGGGGCACGTTTGCCAAGGGGCGCGATGCGAGAACGGTGGACTTGTCCAACTTTGACCTGCGCCAGCGGTACGAGCAGGACAGGAGAGGCGGGGGTAACAATGCGAGGGAACAGCAGCGTCGCCGTGGCCCAGATCCGAACGCAGAGGCGTTGCCCGTCAGTTCTGCTCAGCCTCTGAGGCGAGACGAACTTGCGTTTCAACGGCAGATGGCGCTGCAGACGGGCTCGGGCCGACCCGCACCTGGCCCTTCTCGGCCCACACCCAGCAATGCGCCAGCCCAGAACCGGCCACGGGCACCGGCTGGCGAGCCGATCATCGACGCCATGGAAAACATCAGTATCACCGACCTCTCCACGCTCACGCCAGAACAGCGTGCTAGCCTCACACGACACGGCGCTGTCATTGAGCGCGCGGCTAACCTCCTAGGGAACGACGATACAAAAATTGCCACCTTCCGTTCTCATATCTCTACTTATAACAAGGGTTCTATGACACCGGAACAGCTTGTTGATGCTTTTTTCTCCCTCTTCAGCGAGACATCGTCCAATGCCCTGGGAACCCTCGTTCGCGAAGTCGCCGATCTCTTCGACGACAAGAAAAAGGCCGAAGCCCTTCGCCGAGCCTGGCAAAACTGGCGCGCGATCAACGAGGACTACCCTTCCCTCCCTAGTCTCGAGGGCATGCACGGCGCGACTACCTCAACCACCGGCTGGGCCGCAGCAGCCGCCGCTAGCCGAGGCGGCGCCAACCTCTCCTCCTCCCAGCACGCTGCCGCCCAACTGCGCAACTCCACCCGCGTCCTCAAACTCAAGCACAGCACCCGCCGCGGCAGCGTCGGCTCCGTCATGTCCCTCGCCTCCTCAACAACCTCATCCACCGTCCCCGGCGCCACACCAGCGACATCCTCCTCCTTCTCCACACCCTCATCCCGACCCTCCCCGTCCATCCCATCCTCCGCTTCCGCATTCCCCGCTCTTCCAGGAACCGGCCGCTCCTCTCAGCCTAGCCAACCCAGCTGGATCGGCGGGTCAGCGCCTGCTCTTCCAAGACAAAATCCTCCTCGACCTACTCCCAGCGCACCGACCCGGAAAACCGGCGGCGGTGGAAGTGGAGGAGGTGGGCGGGGCGCGTCTACCGAGGAAGCTTTCCCCGCGCTACCGGCCGCACCGAAGCCGCAGACAACGATTTTTGGGTATGGGCGGGGTGTGGTAAGGCGAGATTTTGGAGTACCACGGGACACGGGGTTCAGTTGGGGGGCGAGTGGTTCGAGTAATAGTGCTGCGGATGCGGAAGGTGGAGAGGGGGGTGATGGGCAGCAGGGACAAGCACAGCAGGGGGGAGGGGGGAAGAAGAAGAATAAGAAGCAGGTTTTGGTGCAGTGGGGGTGAGGGATGGGTTAGTTAGTGAGTGTTTGTTGTTTAGTCCCTCTGTTTGGGGATAACGGGGAAAGATGGTTGAGGGGTTGGATGAAGTGGTAATTTGAGGTTGAGCAGGCAGTTATGCAGAAAGCGTGAAATAGTTTTGGGGGTTCTGCGTGGCGGTTGCAAATGCTAAGTGGCCTACAAATTTTCCTCAACCTTGTTTTTTTTTTTTTTTGGCGCAGTCGAGTTGGGAGTGTGGGAATGACTTCACACAGTCACACAGTGAGTGAGTATGTGCAATGCAATGCGGTGTCGTCTAGTCTCTTGTCGGCGCGAGCATGTGACCAAGTACTCAAGGGAGGAAGGAGAGGAAGAGGGTATATATACAACGTCCACGAACCAGATCCATAACGAAGCGGCCACATGGTGGGCCAAATGGCCTAACGGTCACCGGCGGTGGCCCTCGGGAGGGCACCACGCTGGGGTAGAATCTGGTAACCTCTTTGAGGGCGAGGGTTCGACTCCCAGTGTGGGCGGCTAACGGTTAGGGGGTGCACTTTCTTTCGAGGAAGGCTCGGCACCTGCTAGCCCGGCGACGCAAAATCCTCCGCCCTAGATATTGGTTGATACTTAGGCAACTTATATTTGGGGTGTAGCTGGGTTTCGTAACTTAGCACCCATCCCACCGGGGCATGGTTGCTTGCCTGGTGAGCTTTTGCTGTTTTGACCTTTTTCTTTTGCCTTGTTTTCTTTTTTCCTCTAGTTTTGTTTCGGTACATGATGGGTGTCGAATCCTTGGTTCTTGTTTTCTCATTCTACAACGTGGTAGGTATCTCAAATACATCAAGGGAAATTACTCTACCCCTGTTGTTCGCTGTATAATCTTCGGACGAGGAACTCTGCCTTGTCGTCAACCAGCATGTTCCAGATGTTAGAGGATATCTCACCACATACCTCCGTACGCTTCGACAACAACACAGCGTACACATGACCACCATGTTGACGGAATGATAGCTTTATTAAACAAGGCTTGCTATTACTCACCGATACTTTGGTTGGTATTTACAAGAACCTCATTGAGACACACATACATGGTCCATCAAACACAGAAACGGTAACAACAACTCGATTGTGGAATCCTTTTAACTAGACATACAACAGTAATCCTGAAAAGGTCAAAACGAAAAGCCAAAAAAAAAAAAAACACAATGGCACATCCAACCAAACAACCTCGCTCCGCTGTCCTCCACCAAACGCTTCGATCTTGTTTTGTCAAATTTGTTCTCTTTGTAGTGCTGTGGCCCGCCCTCCGTGTTCATCTACTCGATCCAACCCATGTCCCGACTGGGACCTCCATCCGACCGTTGCCAAGCTTCCGGCGGCAAACTCGTTTTACCCCCCTTCAATCTTCTTGGCGATCTACCCAGGCGTAGATTTCACCCTCCGATGCTTCGTATCGACTGACGGCCCCGCATCATCATCCGCCTTGTCCCCCTCTGGCATAGACTTCGCTCTGCGACGCCGACGCCGACGCCGACGTCGAGCATTGGTCCCCACAGCCATGTCCGCTTCAGCGCCAGCTGCCTCTCCACTCCCAGCTGCCTCTTCAGCGCCAACTACCTTTCCTCGTTTCCAACGTCGTGGCTCCGAATCAGGGGTGTGATCCTACACATTCGTGGGCGGCGCACACACAAAATAGTCGCGGAATCGATCCGAGTGTTCCAAGTGCAGGTTGTACACCACATTCCAGCAGACGATCAATAGGTTGGGGAACCGCCGCGCCCAAAACCCGAGATAGCCATCCGGCAGAGACCCGACAGTCTTCTTAAGCGACTCGGGCATATCCTCGTAGTGGTAGCGCTTGTTCCGCAGAGCACGGAGCAGGTCCAGAAGACGGGTGCCGGTGTACTTGCGCTGTTTACCGAGGCTGTCGACAAACTCGCGGGGGAGGTGCTTGAGGAAATCGGACTGGACAACATCGGGCGCGTAAGATTCGAGGTGAGCAAGGGTGGTCGAAGGCGGGTCGCGAGGCTCCTTTTCGAAGTGGTCGGATACGTCGCAAAGGAAATGGAGTCGCCTTTTGGGAGTCCAGAAGAAAGGGTGGCACATCACCTCGACGGCGGAGGGGCGCTGCTTGGGGTTAGCATTGAGCATGCTGCTGATGAGGTCGCGTGCTTCAAAAGCGAGGTCGCCGAGGATATCGAGGAGCTGCAGGTTGTAGTTGCCCTTGCGGATGTTCACTTCGCGCATGAAGCGGTCGCCGCAGTCGAACGGGTGGTTGCCGCGAGTGAGGACATAGAAGAAGACCAACCCAAGTGAGAAAATGTCAATAGCTCGGGTGACTCGTCGGCTGTGGGGGCCCGGACCCTCGACCATGCCAGAGCCTGACGCACTATGGAGGCTGGAGCCAGGGTCGGTGAGCGTCATGGAGGTCGGCACCGGCGCATCATCGTCAATGAGCAGCTCCGGCGCGCGCCAACCAGTGGTACCTGCGGCGTGGGCGGTGGTAGCACCGAATGATGACTGCCCGCCTTCCAGCTTCTTGCACAGTCCAAAGTCGGAGACCAAAATCCGGGGCATGCCGTTCTTGCCCATGTTGACGAGGATATTCTGCGGTTTAAGGTCGCGATGGACGATCCGTAGGCTATGGAGATGACTCAAGCCATTGGCGATCTGGTACAAGACACTGGGCAGATCACGCTCGCCCGCCTGCGCGAGCTCCCTAAAACACTGCGGCTTCTGGATTATGTCGGCCAGCGAGGCTTGGCAGAGCTCCAACGCGATGTACAAGAACGCGGCACGCTCTTGTTGGGCGTAATAACGGATGACTACGGATGTCAGCGTGGTGTTGTAATACTACGGCCTGGCTTTGCTTACCATTTTCATGGTCGTCGCTCTCCCTTAAGAGCCGAGTCTCCTGGCTGGCAATTTCGTTGAACTGGACCAACATGCGTTTCACAGCCACATCGCGGCCGTCCCACTTGCCCGCAAAGACAATGGTGCCATTACTGCCCGTGCCCAGCTGTTCAGACTCATTGACCTCGAGACTCCCCATCTTGAGAATATGGCCAGATACCTCGTCGGCATCGCCAGCCATCGTGATGATGTCAGGCTCAAGCTTCGGCTCTCGGACCAATGTCTTGGCTTTGTTAATCACCTCCTCCACACTCTCCTGAGGAGAATCATCGTCTCGCGATTGAGAACCTTCCCGCTTTTCCTTGTTGTTGCCTTTCCGATGTTTGACGCCTCCTCGGCGGCCCCTGTGGCCCTTCTTCTTCTTCACGGGCTCGCCTTGGGCTTCACCTCCTTCCGCCTGCTCGCTATTGGCCGGAAGTGGTTCAGCAAACGTCACGCCCGGCGAGGCTGGACCGGGCGAAGGTGAGCCGGGAGAAGCCGAAAGCTCCGGCTTTGACTCTTGGGCAACTTCAGGGGGAGCAACCTCACCCTGTGAAGTGCCGGCACGGGGCCTTTCGACCGGAAGTTCCTCGCTTGGAGTCGCATCTGGGGATGCAATCTCAGTTTTGGCCTCGACCGGCCCGCCTGCAGTAGGTAGCTTGTCCGCAACAGGCTCAGAGCTCGAAACCGTCGGATTGACTTCGATATTTGGAGTCAAAAAGCTCCCTTTGCCCTTGGACCGGCTAAAGCGCACAATCTTGTCCTTGTAGAACATCCACACAGTGACGATGAAGAGGACAATTGCCGCAGGGTTGCTGACAAGGTCAAACACCCGTGTGACTACAAACTCAGGCACTTTCTTGGCCGTCTCAAGGATCCTACTCGGTTCCGGCTCGGGCGCGGGGAGTGGCGGGATCGGTTTGGCAACATTGCCGTCGATGAGGCTCTCAGACCCGGACCGAGGACCATCGAGTAGCAAAGGCGGTGGCAACTGCTGTTGGAGCCTATCGGGGGTTCCGAACCCATCGGGCAGCTGGTGCGTCCCGACCAAAGCTCTGGACTTCTGCGACTCGGGGAGCAGGTCCCAAGATTCTTTGATCCGCCACCAGTCGACGCGGTGAATGGGCGCCAGCGGTGCAGACAGGATTAAGGGATACCGGCTTCCCGATAGGGCATACCAGCCACCATCCTCCGTCTGATTGATGAAGACCTTTTCGTTCCGGAGACGCAGGTTGTCCTCGTTGCTGGCGGGGAGTGGAGGCTGGGGTAGAGCAATGAGCTCCGGGTCCATACCAGCGGGGGTCTCCCACCGGTGGAGGACGTCAAATACACGGGCGACGGGCGATGAGAGCATCTTGGTAAAAACGGGGCGCTCTTCGCGGAAGTTGCTGTACTCAAAACCGTAGATCTTGCCGTCATGCTGGCTCGTAACGTAACGGCTGTCTTTGGTCAAGAGGTTCTGCTGGATTAGGTCGTTGTCCTGCGTGTTGGGTCCCCACTCCGAATACTTGAGGGAGGCAATTGGCTGCCCATCAGCGCGATGAATGCTGACGGTATACTCTGTACGTCCGAGAGTAATGGTGCTATCCTCGCTGCATTCCTCTTCACCGTCGGCGAGCGCATTCGGCCGGAAACAGCTTTCGGACTCAACCTTATTGACATAACTGCCAGTGGACCCGAACTGCTTAATGATGGTGCCCGTGGCAGCATTCAAAGTGACCATGGTCGTCTTCTTGTCGCCCGTGTAAAGCACGCGGTTAGCCTTGTCATTATGAGGCGCCAGTTCCTCGACCAGCCTCTTCATGGTAAGGGTCATTTTTGCCAATCCGGAACCGTGCTCGTTCGGCCGCCAGAGATACAACTCGCCGTCTCTGGTTGGTTCCACAACCCAGATGTAGTGATCGATGGGGTCGTAGTCGTCGTCGAGCACGGAGCGATTGGTTCGGAAGTGTCGGGTTTCGACCATGGGGTGGTCGGCCTTGAAATGCCAGCGCTCCTGACCGGTCTTACGGTCACTGGCATAAAGGTCTCCATCGACGGTCGCCAGAAGAACAAAGTCTTCCACTTCCCAATCCTCCAGGCTCCGCGCAACATGCTGCGAGAGTCCGGCCCCTTGTGCGGGGCCTCTGTACTGTGATGGAGGCGGTGCTCGAACGGACAGGTCCGGAGCTGAAGCGTGGGCGCGCGCATCGTCAAGAATGATGTTATTGTTGTTATTATTGGTGTTGCTGCCGCCATCGTGATGATGGGGGATGACCCGTCGACGGACACCATCCTCCTCGTTCTCGTCAGCCTCCCGACTCCGGACGGATATGGGCGAGTGCTGAACGACGCGCGGTGTCTCGGCGGTCTCAGGACCCCTCACCGCGGTGGCCGCGAGGCTAGACGCGGCATTCTGGTCGTTTTCGGCGGGGGACCGGAGACGGTGGGCTTCTGTGGATGGGCGCTGTTGCTGCTGCTGAGCATCGGCGAGAGGAAGCCACGGGAGCAAGATCAGTGCAAGTGCCAGCAGGTACTTGCTCTGGGGAGCGACATGGCCATGCGGCCGTCGCAACATCTTGGGTCGAACAACGCGGAATGTCCGGGGGGAGTCGAGTCAGGAATCACATCAAATGCAGGGTTGCTGCAACCGGCCGTTGCGGCAATGGCGCGTGCGAGCGGATTCAGTGTTTTTTTTCTTCGTGTTTTTCTAAGAGTGTTCGTTCGGAGCAATGGACGCAAAATGAGGGAAAACAATCCTCGCCGCTGGGAGATAAAAATGATGCTCCCAACAAGCGCTCAGTTGATAGGGGCGAGTGCGGCGTGGTGTGTTGGTGAGGTTCCCGGGTCGGGATTGCTAGAGTAAGAGGTCCGTGGTTGCAGGAACGAAGCAGCGGGAAAAAAAGGCGATGTGGAGGGTCTTGAGTGGATCCCTGGGGGACTTGGATGGAAGCAATTGGATGACTCTAGCAGGTTGGCACCCGGCTGAGCCTGCTTCACAGGCCTGGCAGACCTGGCTAGGGCATGCATTTCTGGGACCAATCCTGAAAAAGCTCCAGGTTCATCCTGCTATTGAAGGACTTGAAGCAAAGCTTAGCATGAGTCAGAGCTGGCGCCCACAACGTATCCCAATTTATTGACAACACTACCAAGATATGATGTGGTTTCTGGTCTTATTTTGTACCTATATTAGAATGTTGAAACGTAGTTTTTCAACGCCTATGCCCATAGTTTCTTGCTCGCAGTAGGTACCTTTATTAACAATCCCGGGTCCCCTGCTTGTCCCTTGCCTGCACGCTGTGAAGTGATTGGACCACGCACACACAAGCTGGCACAGGCCATCCTCGCGCGTCTCGAGTCCACCTCGCTATGGCCAAAAAAAGCGGCACATTCAAACAGGTCGCTCAAGTCCAATCCACTAACATTAGATCAAATCTTGGTAAAATTTGATTAATTTACTCTTTTTTGTCTTTTTTTACTTTCTAGGTTCATTCTGTTTTGTCTTCTTTCACTTTTTTTGGTTTATTCTTTTTTGTCTTTTTTCAGTTTTGTAGCAAAATACGGAGTAAGTTACCTATCCAGGACTTGGTCTGCCGCTTTTTTTGGCCGTAGCCAGTCCACCTACCGTTATTCCACGACACGGAAGATCTCGATCGACTACTCCGTACTTCGTAGGCACTGTATCCGTACCTCTACAGAAAATGAAACTTTTCGCTCTCAACTTCCGAATCAACTCGACTTTAGGTTCACCAAACCCGTTTCCATTTCGTGGACCGGCTAAAGCCGTTTAATTAAGAGTGCAAAGAAGTTCTCGGTTCAGCCGACCCAATTCCATGATTCAAAAGCGCCATGACGTGACCAGGAGCATCGTCTTCCTCGTACATGGTACAGAGCACTTATTTGTGGATCGTTGCTTTTTGTAAAATCTTCCTCCGCATCGGCTAAGGATGGCTGGGGGTTCAAGCCCGAAGTCCGCCCGATCGCCCACAAAACGTTTCAGAACGGCATCATTGTGCATAGGGGAAGCTGGGGGCTGAATTCTTGGTCTCATCCATGTCAAGCCCAAGCCCCTGAAGTTCGTACTATGATAGACGCCAAATCTTGGGGATGGTAGATAGCTTGATGACCCACAAAAGGTCGGAATGTGCAGTTGGGCTTCTAACCACTCTCTCAAGCTCATTGTGTTCATTTTACTCTTCTCCCCCAGCCTGCGCTAGTGGCACTTGTCAATCGCTCTAAGATTGCTAACAGCATGTTAACTATTGTGGGCATTTTCCCGCGGACCAAGATATACATACCACGGGCCCCTTTGTACAACCAGATGAGATAATTTCGGAGCGGAAGGCTATGCTTCGCCAAAATCTTAGGTGACGCCAAATAATAGCATAATTTTGCTGTTGATCCCAGAACCGAACGCAGCTAAAATATCGTTCCCCATTGCAGCAGGACACTCGAGGTTTGAGCTTACACCGGCGGCTTGCGGGGAAAACTATTTCTCCTGCGGAGGAATAGTAGGTTTCCTGCCGGTTCAAAAGGGGCTGCGGACAACAACGTCGGGGGATTGGCAGCGGCTTGCCGCCGTTACCTAGGCGTTCGCAGCTTGGGTTGTTTCTGACTCGATTTGGTGCTCATACTGCTGGGTGGGTCTCATGATCCCAATACATTCTGCATTGAGTTTGCTGGAAGTATCAGCACATCGAGGCGTTGTCAGCGGCCGGTACGATGAACAGATGTGCTTTCTTGGTTGTAATCGAGATTAGTACCACCAAGGTTTGAAACAAGTGCGACAAAAGGCACGAAGTCCAAATTATGGAGACGACCTACGAAATTCATATGGTACCCCTGGCGAAAACAAGTCATAGTATCCGAAGACCCAGGTGCCTTAGCTGGTGTCCTGCCCCCTTGATACAAACAAATTATTCTACTATGTAACCAATAGTACCGCGTTCTACCCCCTCACGATAGTTAGTTGCGCATAAGAAAATGAATCTCGCAGCAGGGCTTTTCTCCTTTGCGCACCTTCGCACGAAGGATGCAGTGTTGTTTATCATGCGGCCGAGGTTAGACAATATTGGGGCACAAGAGCACAAACTTTCCCTGCAAAGGCAGTGCAACACTGGTATCCCGACCCATTAATTAATCCCGGTATAATGGGCTATTGATCACTAGGTCGTGGTGCGCTCCAGAGCCCATATGCCCTATCTCAGTGATGGGCAGACTTGACGTTACCCAAATCCGTCAGCACGAGTGATATATAGTATAAGGTCTATACCTTCTACTACTCTAGCCGGGTTACTGCTATCAGCTAGGATGCCTTTTGGAAGAAGCTAGGCTGGTGTGAGTAGTACTTGTATGGGGTTGTGCAGGCTGTCCTCGGCGTGTTAGACCGCATCAAAGGCTTCCTACCCTTCGATACATACACCATAGAGGCATGGATCTACTCATGATGCCGCCCGGCGATACGATAGATTGGGAGCCGTGCTTGCTTTTTCCAACTGAGAGGAGTAATAGTCCTTGTCATGCCATGTGATTTCCCTGATAGGTTAACTTACACTAGCTACTGTGAACATCAAGGCCGCTTTTTTAGGACATGTTCATTTGGTATACAACTTCCGCCCGCCCTATCTGGCAAGGATGGGCTAGTCAGCTCCAAAACTCTTCCACATTCCGGCAGCGCCCAGGTCCTCATCCACTCCGTCTCCAGTACCTCCTTGGCACTGGGCCGATCCCGCGGCCTGAACTGCAGCATCCACCGTATCATGACAGCAAACGCTTCCTCCTCCTTCCCATCAAGAGTTGCCATGCCCTTGTCACGTCGCGGCTCCCGTATCCACTGCTCAAATCGGTGCTCCCACGACCAAACACTTCGGCCCTCGGCCGGCTGCTGACCGTTTTCCGCAAAGTACTTCGACCGCGCCTCCCATTTCTCCCACCACTCGTCGGGTAAAAGACCAAGTACATCAATCTGCTGGGCCGTGACGTCGTCTTCGGTAGCGAGAAAGACATCAAACAGCGACCTATGAGCGAGCAGAGACCAGATCGTGCATCCCAGGCTCCAGACGTCAGAGGGGAAGGAGAGCGGCGTGGTGGGTTCGAATCGGGCTTCCGGTGGCCGGAGCTCGAGCGGCGTGTGAGATTGGTATCTTTGTTCGCTCGAGGGACGAAAAGCGACGCCGAAGTCAGCGAGAAGCAGCTTCGCATCGGAGAGGAGGATCCTCTCGCATTGATCACCCAGCCACATGGGCGGTACGCCACATGAAGGGACGCCGGGCGGAAGCGGTTTTCCGTCTAGTCGGACCACGGGTTCCGGTTCAGGCGCTCTATATTTTTCGTACAACTGCTCTGTCGAGAGACCGTCGAGACCGGTCGGGAGCCGAAGCAAGATGTTTCCGAGGTGAAGGTCTGTTGTTTGCGTGAACCAGAGTCTGCCATAGCGGCCATGGGTGTGGGCAGGTTTATGGACGCGAAGGGCTTCTTGCAGCGCCTCGTGGGTTCGAAATACAACCTCTAGCCCTCGAAAGAGGAACAAAGGATAAGTGTGTCGGGTGTACGCCTCTTCTTTTGGGGGGAAGGGGGGAGAGAAGCAAGGGAGCGAAAGACGGGAGGTTGCAGACTCACCTCCATGAACCACCCCTCGCTCATGAGCGTGAGCGATAGCGATGACGAGTTGAGCCGCCAGTGACCGAGCAACGTCTAATTGGAAAAGACAGCAGAATGACGCCTCCTTTGTATCAGTGAGGCTGCACCTCGCCGGGGTAGTCGTAAAACAAAGGTGCGTGCCGTTAGGAGCTTGGACGTTGAAACGGTCGAGAACGATGGGAGTCAATGCCTCTCCACCCGCGGCTTTCTCAAGCGCCCCATTTTTCAATCGAGAAAGCGTGTCGATTTCATGCTGCTGGCTTGCATCGGCGTGCAGACTTTGATGAGCCCGTTCCTTCGAGCAAGAAGATGTGGGACCAGATCATGTCCCTAGAAGTAGCATTGAAGTGCGGGCTTTGGTGTTCAGCAATAATTAGGAGGTAAGTAAGTGAGTCTAAAGTCAGAATGAGCAAATAATTGCGGGGCCAAGCAACGCGCCGCAGGGTCAGTGGCTCAGTGGACAACTCGAGGTCGTTGATGAATCTATGGATACTTACCTATGTATGTACTGTACTTGCCTTGAAGGCTTGGTCCACGTGTCATGCCGAATGGTTAAAGCCATATTATATGGGCACAGGGAAATGACCTGGCATATCAAGGATTATTTATTAGTTTTCTCACTTGAAGAAACAAAAAGAGAGCCCACCTCATACTCTTCATTGAGCTACCTAGGCTACCTAGGAGGTACATGTACCTACACACCGCAATATCAAAACGCGCTGCACCAGCGACCACGAAGCGGAAGCTTGGCGGTGCTTTCTATCTCCTTGTGCAGTTCCGTCCTGTGCTGGTCGGAATATTTCTCCTGCAGCTTCTTTCCCAGTTCGAGTCAGTCCGGCGACTCATCGGCGAGGTCCGAAACGGCCACGACCTTGTCCTGGGCCTCGCGCCGCATATCGATCTCCTCGGACCACTGCTCGATGGCAAAGGCCTCGCCAGGCTTGGCCTCCCAAACGCGGCCGCTGCTCAGCATGCGGCGGACCACCGTGTCGGCGTCGTGGGCTTGGAGAGGCGAGGGCGGCTGCGATGCCGGACTCGAGCAGGATGTTGAGGACACGTTGAATCGTGTTCAGGAGGTCGTTCTTGAAGGGTGCAATGCTCAGCACGCGCGTGGCCATGAAGGGCGCCAGATTCCCCGAGTACCACAGGTGGTACAGATACTGGTTGTTGGCCTGGGCATACAAAGAGTCGGATTCCTGCGATCTCACGGCGGCATTGGGACGCCAGGGGTGCAGGTCATGGTCGCTTGTGCGAGTTGGTAGCAGACTGATGGCGTAAGGGGTCCTTCTCGATAGTCAAGACTGGCTGGTAGGCTGCCCGGGGTAAGAACTGCACCGTTGTGATGGATGGGGATGAAACCGAGGCGGCCATGGCAACGGAACGTACCCCAGGGAGGCCGGGTTCAGATAAGGAATACAGAATACAGAGAACCGCACGTCAAGGTTGGTTTTGGAAGGAGGACGAGGTGACAGTTGCGATACAGTGGTGGAAATGGAGACAGGATATAATTACGGATCAATATACGGACGAGTACTATCTCTTTGCTAGAGCCTAGAAGGGAGAGGGCGTCTCAGTTGCCTGTCTAAATCGCCTCTCTTGAAGCCTGCACGCTACGTCGTTCTGGGTCCCTAGAAGAAATAGAATGGCCTAGGTTACAACCGTTAAAGCGATCGCCTGGCTCAACTGCGAGAAGTGCTTGAAAGTGGAGCTGTCGACGGCGGAGCACGAAAAGATGCCCGCCCTGTACTCGTCTGAGCTCCTCTCGGCAGGCCTACAGATGCTGAAAGCAGGCCGCGAGTCGCTGCGCCACAACACCAACTAGGACCGTCTCACCAACGTCCTCGGTCTGCTCAAGCCCATCGCCATCGCGGCTGACGTACTAGCCGAGGAACTGTATATTCCCTCCAAGATTCTGTGGGGGAGTCTTGGCCTGGTCATCGAGGTCAGTCAGTTCGCATGAACCAGCATAGCTTCGAGCAAGACCCCAGCGGCTCGAGCATCTCCTCAAGGTCAACGAGGAGGCCGGCCATGCTCTGCGTGTTGAATGACGAGAGTCGGAAGAACGAAGGTACGCGGAGCTTATGGAGAAGCAGGACGTGATCCTCTCCACACTGGCCGACCAGACAGCCGGCAAGACGGGACCGATGCAGGCCGAGCGGTTCCCCGTGCCGTGGACACGCAACCGGTCCTTCATAGGACGCGAGTCCATCCTGGCCGAAATCCAATCCCACTTGGCCCCGGACAGCGAGGGAGCGGGCTCCCACCAGCTCTCTGTTGCCATCTGCGGGTTAGGGGGCGTCGGCAAGACCCAGATTGCCCTAAAGTAATTACGCCGATCTTCACAAAGACGACTACATGGCCTGCTTCTGGGTAATGCGCGATGTGAGACTTAAAATCGCGAGCGCCTTCTGCGACATGGCGAGAGTGCTCGGGTTCCCTTTATTGATTTTATTCTTTTTGGTTCTTTTTCAGTTATGTAGAGAAGCAAGTTATCCACTCAAAGACAGCGTACTTGGTCTGCCACTTTTTAGCGAGGGCGCCTAAACTTGCGCTACCTGGTCTCAAGCTGATTTACTCCGTACAGCTCACTCTTCGATAACGCCACCAGATCCTTCGACCGCTAATTACCTACCTGAACAGAACGGGATATGCCCGGCGCCGGCTAATATGCAGGTCTTCCAAATTTATAGCGTGCCACGCATTCATGGATGCACTGTAACGTTTCACTGATGGAACTATGCGACTTCGTATTCTCCGTCCTTTCAGCTCTACTATGTAGGACACCCGCGTTTGAGCTATCATAATCTATTAATAACTCTTATAATTACGGCCTGCCTTCTCTCGAAAATGGAGACATCTATCCTCACCAGCGAGCAGATCCACGGCCTTCGAAAATGAAGTTCTTGTTGACAGCTTTGGCCGGAGTCTCGGTTGCCTCCGCTAAAACCCAGCTTCCAGAAACATGGTATTCCACCATCTACCTCAATGAGTCCTTAACCACGAGCCAAGAGATCGCCTATGGCAGTGAGGCCGTTACTCCGGTGCCAACTTCGACCGCGCCGCTAGTTTTGTCAACTTCATACCTCAGCGCTCCCGTAGCCAGCCGAAATATCAACCACACCACGTATTCCACTGTTAGCGAGACACTGCCGCTCACTACTGTGACACCCTCCGTCTACATTACACGCCCCTCCCTCCCAACCGTCACCCTCAATGGCACCACCACCATAACCACCTACCTCTCCACAACCATCGCCACCGTCACCCTCTCCTCCCTCGTCCTCCCCAACGGCTCCCCGCCCGCGAGCACCGCGACAGTCTACACCGGCACCTACCATCCCGCTCCAGGACAAGTGATCCCCTCGGGCAGCACTCAAACCGCCTGGCCTACCGCCGTGACTGTGCACGATTCCATCACCGCAACCTACCTCATCTACACGTACACGGGCAGCACGTCCACTACCACCTCGGTCTGGACCGAAACCGTCTACCGCACAACGGCCACGGCGTCCACGACAACAACCATCGAAATACTCCCCTGCATCGGGCGGCCCCCGGCTAGAACCTGCACGCAGACAACCTACACCAGCACCGCGACGCACACCATGGCCGACGCAGGGCTGGCGTACGTGAACGCTACGCGCACCGTCCCTGGCAGTTACGATGCTACCCCAACGGTGACGTACGCGGCCAGATGCGCGCCGACAAACCTGCTCAGCGTGCGCGACGGGCACGGCCTCGCCGTCGAGCTCTCGCCCGACGACTTCACGTTTCCCATCGGGTTCCCCGGCATCGTCATCGGCATTCCGCCGTCGTTGGTGGTCGACCCGAGTGCCTGCTGTCAGCTGTGTCTTGACAACGAGGGCTGCGCCGCGAGCGAGTGGACGTTGGGGTGGGATACGGCTTGTCGGTTGTTTTACCATGTGCCGGAGATTGGTGATTATGGGGCGGAGGGCGGTAGTGGAGGAGGAGGACAACAGAGTAAGAAGGATCAGTTGTGTGGGAAAGCAGGAAAAGGTGGTGGCGGTAACGGGGTGGTCCCGGTCAAGTACTATGCTGATGTGTATGCGCTGCCAGGCCAGGGGAGTTTTATTCAAGTTGGGTGCGGGAATTTGGAGTATCTCGGCTTGATGGATCCGTTTTGTCCGTCGTGCGAGGTGGGTGAGTGAGGGTTTTACTATTAATTAGTATATGTGATGATGGGGCTCCGGGATTGCGTGGAAAATCCCACATGTGTAGTATCCAGGTGGGCAATGGTGGACGAGCCCATGCCGCCATCTCTAGGATAGACGTAGACCAACAGGAAGTTGCTCTACAGTGATCTCGACAATGGCCACAAAGCAGTGTACAGCATACTCCTATTGGAGGAACAAGAGGTACAAGATACTTGTAAATACCTCGTTAATTCAAAATATAAATAATAGTATATCCAAAAGACTCCAGAAGAAAGACAAAAAGAAAAAGAGAAACGGAAAAAGAGAAAAGCAAAAGGGGGAAAAGATTCGCAGCGAAACTCATTTCCCCTTGGTTCTTTTTCAAAAACCGGGCCGTGAAGCCCATGCCATGGCTACAATCAGTGTTGATTACTTTCCACCAGACAGAACCATTTTCCCTTGGGAGCTCAGCCTATCGACTACTCTGTCCCGCGTCATGAGATCTTTCTCCCCGTCGCACATCCCCTCGATGAGCCTGCCAGCCAAAACTCGGGCAATATTTTGCTCTGTGACCCGACGATTCAGCATCTCGGCTCGCTTCAGGTAGTCGCTCAGGGGTTCTCCGGTTCTTCTGGCGAAGGCGACAGCCAAGTGTATCACCTCAGCGGAGTAAGCAGTGGCTCTTCTGGGAAACCGGTCCTCGAAAGCTTTCTTGATTTTACTAAAGCTCTCACGGTTTCCCACATACTCCGTCTGCCACCATTCCTTAGCTTCGCCCATCAATCCGGTCCTGAATTTGCTCCAAGCAACTCAGTCTGCCACATCTCCGGTGAGGTTCATTACATCAATATTGACCTGAATGATTCCACCACCCAGTTTGTACCCACTTACAGATTTCTAAACATGTAATGCACTTTTCCAGACTTAGTACGTGTGCCGCGGTTTGGGCTTCTCCACCTCGAGAGTCTTCTTCGTCTTCTCCAGAATCCACCTCCTACAGCTGCGACACGCCCTTGCGCAAAACCGCCCTGAGGCCCGCCTCGACTTCTGGCGCCAGATGTACCTTGGTATCGGGGGCAGTTTCCTCTGACGAATCCTGGCTTCCCTGTCCTCCCCTCTCTCTCCAGTTACTTGTTATATCCCACAGGCTATCCGTATCCTGTATATCGGTATCACTGTCCCCGGATAACTCTGCAAAGCTGGCTTCGTCATTCACTGTACTGCCTTGTCCGAACCGCCTCTTCTTCTTCTGAGGCTGTAATTACATACACACTATACCATCTGGCAGGCCGTGACGGATCGTCCTGAGGAGCTCGTGTTAGCCAATTGACCATTTAGAATTTTAGCGCACCAGTCACAGGCTCACAGCGTCGCCTCAAAAATCTCCGGATTATCCCCACAGTTGGGGAATGGAGGAGCGTCGATCGGCCTCCAAATCCACCATTCACACAACCGAATTCTCCCCGCAAACCCGGTTTCCGGCTGATCACGATTGGCGGAATTATAAGCCAAGATACAATGTCCTGGGGAAGTGCTTTGCCGCACCAGTCGGCATTCAGCGGCATGGCAAAACAGAGTTAGTAGTCGTCGGGTATGTAACCCTTGATCGATGCATCCGTCAGGCGCTCAAATGATGATACGAGCCGACCACATCTGATAGAAGAAAGCAACTCTGCTCTAGAACATGGGCAAGTTGTATAAATACCCTTCTTGGCCCCGGCTGCCTCTAGTCGTCCTGAGGCCATCTGTTTCTATCCAGCAACAGTTCTCTCAACTGTCAACATGGCCCGGCTTTCTCTAAAGGCCGCCGGCAATGCTGGGTTCGCCCTCATCGCCGGCTTGTTCAGCCTCGCTAGCCTGCAACAAGTCTCCGCTGAAGGCGCCAGCAGCTTCCCCCTGAGCGACGTCCAGTTGACACAGAGTCGTTGGATGGACAACCAGGACCGCACTCTGGCCTACTTGCTCTTTGTTGACCCAGATCGCCTGCTGTACAACTTCCGCAGCACCCATCACCTGGACACGCAAGGCGCCCAAACCAACGGCGGTTGGGACGCCCCGGATTTCCCGTTCCGGTCACATGCCCAGGGCCACTTCCTCACAGCCTGGGCACAGTGCGCTGCCACGCTCAAGAACGACGATTGCCTCGATCGTGTCACGTATTTCGTCGCAGAGCTCGCCAAGGCGCAAGCCAACAACCAGGCCGCCGGCTTCAGCACGGGCTATCTCAGCGGCTTTCCCGAGTCTGATTTCGACAAGCTCGAGGGCGGCACGCTGACCAACGGAAACGTCCCGTACTATGCCGTCCACAAGACCATGGCCGGGCTGTTCGACGCCTGGAAGCTGGTGGGCGACGAAACGGCGCGAGATGTGCTCCTGGCCATGGCTGGCTGGGTCGACTCGCGGACGAGCAAGCTCTCGGAGGACGCCATGCAGCGCATGATGGGCACCGAGTACGGTGGCATGAACGACATCCTCACCCTGCTGTACCAGGAGACCAAGGACGACCAGTGGCTGAAGGTTGCTCAGCGGTTCGACCACGCCGCCGTGTTTGACCCCCTGGCCGAGGGCCGTGACCAGCTGTCCGGTCTCCACGCCAACACCCAGGCGGCGAAGCTGGTGGGCGTCATCCGCGAGTACCAGGCCACCGGCACACAGCGCTATCTTGACATTGCCAAGAACGCCTGGGACATCATCGTCGGCGCGCACACCTACGCCATCGGCGGCAACAGCCAGGCCGAACACTTCCACGAGCCTAACGGCATCGCCGACTACCTAGACAAAGACGCCTGCGAGACCTGCAACACCTACAACATGCTCAAATTCACAAGGGAGCTGTGGGCCAGCAGTCCCGGGGCCCCGTCCGCCAGCTACTTCGACTTCTACGAGCGGGCCTTGCTCAACCACCTGCTCGGCGTCCAGCACCCTTCCAGCGACCACGGACACATCACCTACTTCACCTCCCTAAACCCCGGCGGCCGCCGCGGCGTCGGCCCAGCCTGGGGTGGCGGTACCTGGAGCACCGACTACGACAGTTTCTGGTGCTGCCAATCGACCTCGGTAGAAACTAACACCAAGCTAATGGACTCCATCTACTGGCACGACGACACCAGCGAAGACCAACCGGTCCTCTATGTCAACCTGTACATCTCTTCCAAACTCACCTGGGCCGACAAAGACGTGACCGTCACGCAAAACACCACCATCCCCGAGACCGACACGTCCACGATCTCGATCGAACCGGGTTCCAGCGCCGGTCCCTTCGCGCTGCGCCTGCGCATCCCGGAATGGACCACCGCCGACGCACAGGTTCTCATCAACGGCGAGCAGGACGATACTGCCGTCAGCGGTGTCGAGCCGGGTGCCTATGCCACCGTCCAGCGCGAGTGGCAGGCCGGTGACAAGGTGACGGTGCAGTTCCCTATGGCGGTCCGCACGATCCCGGCGAATGATGATCCGAATACTGTGGCTATTGCTTACGGGCCTGCTGTTCTGGCTGGGAAGTATGGAGATTCGACTTTGAATGGTGTGCCGGGGATTGAGGTTGATTCGGTGAAGCGGGTTGATGGGGGTGGTTTGCAGTTTGAGGCGACTTCGGGGGGGCAGAAGATTAGCTTGGATCCGTTTTATGATTCTCATGATTATAACTACAATGTGTACTGGAAGATTAACTAAGTTCTAAGGGTGGATGTGGAGCAATATTAGCTTTCAGAGTACTCAGAATCTGCTCAAAGGTTATGAAATACACGAGCACAAAACTACTTGAATTTTAAAGACATGAAAAACTTGTACGACCTACGAACAAAGACATCATTAACCGTTGTAGTCAATCGTCACCAAGATGTCGCCTTGACGCAGGTTCGTGTGCTCAACCCCAATTTCTACCTCCTTAAGTTGGAATGCTATGCGAAGGGATGCTATACGAAGGGACGACGAATCAACAAAGCTAACGGGAAAACGTTGCGGGTAGGATCGCCCAATACCTGTCTACACGCTTTTATTATCCCCTCTCCCCATAGAATGAAGTCCGGTTAAGACACGCCCGGAATCTCAAACTTTCCTCTCCACAGATCCAATCACAGCCATAATTCAGGTACTCATCCTCCCCAAGATTTCACTACATAATTACCTAGCGATCAACACCCCAAGCCATGGATTCCATTTCCCTCAAGTACATCGGCACAGGCAAATGGCACAAAGACCTCGAACTCCGCCTCGGCGAATACCGTCAGGTAGCAGACACCTCCTACTTCGCCATCGAAGACAACTTCAAATCGCAACACGACGTCGGCAAGCGCCTCGCGCACCTCCTCGACCAATGACTGGAGCTGCTCGATGATCTCAGGTCGCACGATAAGGAAAAGGGTATTTCTCCCGTTCGACATCTCCGACCAGTCGACCTCGTGGCTGGAGGTGACGGAGACGGGGGAGGAGGAGGTGGTCACGGTGGAGGTTGGGTTTAGCACGAGGATTCAGGGGTGGGCGGTTAAGGTGGGGGATATACGGCCTACGGCGGAGAAGCTGCTTGGGGTTGAGTTGGTGCCGGATGTGTTGGTGAAGATGACGGTGGGGGAGTTGAGGGAAGCTGTACAGCGGGATCGGAAGGCTTTTACGGAAATCTGAGGGTGGGCGTAGCTCAAGATGAGTTGAAACCTGGGAGGTTGGAATTATGTCTGGTGGGCAGCTCTAGTCATTGGCTTCACGATACTTTCTTGCAGGTGACACGTATCGTGCAAGTCATTTTTGTAGGTCTGCGAGAGTGAACGAGTCGCCAGTGGCCAAGAGCTACGTATAAGCCAGTCAAAGCCACCACATGGTGAACCGTGTTCCTTCGCAAAGATTGCAAAGACCTCGTCCCCTCCTCGTTGACTCTAGCATAATGCCCGGTCTCCGTGGCTAGCTAGGTACTGCTACCTAAGGTACCTACAGAGGAGCTTGTAATTAGTCCTCACAAAGAGGGGCTCCAAAGTACGTAGCTTTGGATCGAAACAACAATCTTTCTTGGTTTGCACTTACAACTGCTGTGATGTCTAATTACAGCCAGCCTGTGTGTGTTCGACGGCGACTCAGCTACTAGCGTGGGTCTACCCACCTTACCAGATACCACCAAGAGACTGCATCTTGCACGGCCCGATGTAAGGCATCAAATAGGATGCCAGCCGCCGATCGGCCCGATCCAACGACGTCTTGTACTTCCCTACATTCAGAGAAGGGACCTTCAACCCCAAAAGTAGGCGGTGATTCCACGGGCTCCACTCCCATGGCATCGAGTGTGGTTAAGCAGTGGACGGCGTTGAAGCTCTACCTCTTACGGTACACAAGATTTTGAACGGGGGTAACTTGATCAGAGTAAGTAGGTAGTGACCCGTGACATGGTTTTCGAGAGACGCTGTACACCATCTCCTAGTTGAATTACCCCATTGAATAACGCATGCCTCTTCATACTGCTGACAACTCAAATTCAAAGGAAAGTACTAGAATGTCTTCATCACGGATAGAAGAAGTCTCAGACTTGGCGAATTCGCTTGCTAATTATCCAAGCCATGCGGCCAGTTTTAGCCGGTGAAAATGAGGCACAGGGTACATCTAGAACCATAGAACCAGACATACCTTAGTGTACGGTAGAGTCGGACAACAAGAGATCCATCGACGACATGGTCTTGGCAGCAAATCAATCACAAGACTCAAATGATGCTTCTTCTGTGTACATCGTACTGCATCTGCGCAGGACCTCAAAGGCGAGCTCGGCGGCGTCACCATCATCATCACCCACGATCGGCCCGAACAAGGTTGGATCGCGGGTGTTGGGTGGTATTTCTCATCAATCGGCCCTTTCGTTTGGGCGCAACGCCGCAACCTCGACCTGGGACCGCGGGCGGGAGAGCACAAGGCGTGACAAGCGTGACAAGGCGCGACAGGCTAGGACAGCTCAGCGCAAGCCAAGCTCGTCTTGTATTATGTAGTACTTTGGTGGAGACCTGCCCGTACTGAGTTGAAGATGTGTGGACGTCCCGCGTTGCCCAATGCACCTCCATCGTGCCATCGCCGGCTTCTTTAGGTGCCCATGAAGTCTTAACTCGGAAACCCTGCCACGCCTGCATTCTTCTGGGGTCCCCGCATTCTTCCACAGCGACGTCAAAAGGGAGAGAGCTTCAGAGCGTGGTAGTGAGCGTGGTAATGTGGGGTATTTTTCAAGTAAGAAAGCCGAAAGGGTTGGTTCAATGCCGTCCCAGGCGTCCCTTCCCTCCACTTCCCCCTGAAGATGTGGAGACTGGATTAGGTAGCAGCTTAAAAAACATCCCCTTTTTGCCTCAACCCCTGGACATTTCCTCTTGAGAGGGCCAAGCAACGTTGAAACTAACACCACAAAGGTGCACACGCAAACAATGCAGACAGGCCACCCCGCACGCCCAACACTGTCACTTCACCTTTTTGCGCTTTGAGCCTATGGGGTTCGGTCCGATTGAACTTGTTGAAGGGCGGAAAGCCGTCAAGTTGTTGGTCCGTCTTTTTGGTAGCACGCATCGATGAGAACGCTAGAAGTCCCGATTTCCGATTCCCGAGTCCCGAGAACATCGTAGTCGGCGGTAGTGGTGTAGAAAAAGGTGAAACAAGGCTAGGGTAAGGTAAGATTTAGCAGCTACCGGAAGCATGGACATGGTCAGATTCGCCGAAGCCCCCGTTTAACGCCGGGAACTTTCATTGCTAGCCCCTCAAAGCGCCGCACTGCGCGTCTAAGGGCGCGGGACTGGCGCTCGGAGATGGGCTAGGGTGAGGCCGAGAAGGCGGCCGTGAGAATGCGGTCCCGGGTCCCTTCGTTGGAGCAGACCACATCGGATGCGACATGAGCATGGACTTCCGAATGGAGACAGACTCGAAGAGCCGGAAAACCGGCGTACTGGGAAGGTAAGTTAGGTAACTTGTATCAAGTCGTTGTTTATATATTAGGGGGGCGACCTCCCTTGCTCGCCACCATCATGACTGTTTGATATCCCCAGTCTCTGCCGTCTGCAGCACGGCTTGGTTCATTCATTCTTCTGTGGTATCGATACCCGCGGGTCTCGTCACCATGCTTGGCTCTCTTGGTTCTCTCCTGCTCTCCTCGGCCGCCCTCGTCGGTGCTCTGCCGAGCGGGAGCGGCTCTACCCCTGATCACGGTTCGGCCCACCACTTTGTGAAGCGGGCGGCGCTCGATCCGATCTCGACTAGCGGCGCCGACGGCATTGCGGGTGGTCAAGTCGCCTGTGATGCCCCTCCTGTGAAGTCCTTCGTCGGTGACCTCAAGCCTCCGGTATGTTTTCCACCCTCTCCGCGCGCGGCCCGAGGACACGGGCCATGGTTATCTACCAAGTTACTCAACTAACACGTCTTTCTGGACCCTAGTTCCCTACCAACTCATGGTGGGCTCCCTTCGCGGCCCCCCCTGGCAATGCCACGGCCGCGGGCCCGTTCCCGTATGAATCCGGGCTCCAAGGCTCCGGCATCCAGTTCGGCCTCAGCACGGCCCGGAAGTTTGACGGCACCTCGATCCAGCAGCCCACGCAGTTCGACTGGCTGGCGTCGTTCACCGAGCACCAGGGCGCGTTTGAGAACCACAAGGCGACGGCCTTTGACACCCAGAGTGTGACTGTCCAGTACTTCGAGGGCAGTTCCACCTTGACGACCTACTTGGTCCCGGGCTCGCCGTACATCACGTTGGAATACGACTCGGCCACGCCGTCGTTCAAGTCGCTTAACGGCGGGATCAAGACTTTCAATGACAAGGACCTCGGAGATGGCGGATCTCGTACGTGCCCCTAGCCTCCTTTTCTTTTCTTTTTTTTTTTTTTGCCCCCGTTCCCTCTAGGTCCTTAGCTAGGTACCTAATTAACGATTTCAAATCAACGTAGAGAGCGCAACCGGAACGCAGTTCACCGTGGTGGACTCCAAGGGCACGACCTACATCATCTACGCCCTGTCCGAGATCTCTCTCACCGCGACCGCGGACTCGACTGCCTCGGGCACCATCAAGGCTGACGGCCCCTTCAAGGGCGTCCTCCGTTTTGTGCAGCTCGGCGACGCCAGCCACAAGGACCTCCTCGACAAGCATGCTGAGATCTACCCCACGTCGGTCGCGCAGGACTACTCCTTCACCGACGCCGAGGGCACCCTCGTCTTCACCTGGGAGACTGTTGGCGACAAGAGCCAGCTCCTCATGCTCACCTGGCCTCACCACCGTCTGACTATGCAAGATGCCAACTTCCCGGATACCACCGCGCTGGGGTACTTGACTATCAAGGTTTGTTTATCTGTTTTTTCTTTCTTCTCTTTTTTCTTTCTTATTTTCATCTTCCATTCCCAATAACCAACCCCCGAAGCTCATGCTAATGGCTTTTCAAACCCACAGGGCTGGATGTACCCTGCCATTGGCAACACCTGGACCATGCAGTACGAGCTCACTGACATTGCGTGGAACGCCCCGCGTGACCTCGACGCCTCGTGCTCCGACGCCGTCATCAACGGTCTCAAGTACGAGATCGGCCAGCTCAACGTCTCGGCGGCCCCCGTCCCTGGCGACTTTTACTACTGGGGAGGAGCCCTCGCTGCCCAGGGGCGTCTAGCTTTGATTGCGTATGTTTCTTTTTCTTTTCCCTCTTTTGTTTGTGGTGGCCGAGTGCTGACAAGATAATTACCATCCAGCGACAACCTCGGCCAGTCCGATCTCGTCCAGCCCGTGGTCGACTACCTCAAGGCCTCGTTCGCGCACTGGTTCGACTCGGCCGCGACCATCCTGCCTGCCTACGAGACCGCATGGGGCGGTGTGATCAACAAGGCCGGCGCCACCGACACCTGGGTCGACTTTGGAAACGGCTACTACAACGACCACCACTTCCACTACGGCTACTTCCTCAGCGTCGCCGCCGTCATTGCCAAGTTTGACAAGGACTGGTTGAGCCAGCACAAGGACTACATCAACTGGTTCGCGAGGTCTGTACTTCCCGCGTCAATAACAACTTATTATTTTATGCTGACCCTTTTGCAGAGACATCATCAACCCCTCAGCAGACGACCCCTTCTTCCCCATCGCGCGCTGCCGCGACTGGTTCGCGGGCCACTCCTGGGCCTCGGGCATCGCCAACGGCGCCGGCAGCCGCGACCAAGAATCCACCGGCGAAGCCGTCAACGGCTATTACGGCGCGCTGCTCTGGGCGTCGGTCGCGCTTGACCAGGCCTACATCGACTACGCGCGTCTGCTGCTAGCCACCGAGCAGCAGGCTGCCCAGCTGTACTGGCACTTGTACCCGCAGGCTGGCGAGACTGACCGTGATAACCCGTACCCGGAGGCTGAGGTGCGCGATCTGGTGACTATGGGGAATGTTGAGGATTGGCAGTCGGGTGCTTGGTTGTTCTGGGGTGATCAGAAGAGTGAGATTGCGGCGATTCAGATCTTGCCGGTTACGCCTGTGAATGAGGTCTTGTATGACAAGCAGTGGGCGGAGAATGTGTGGGCGTACACTATGCCTGAACTGGTTGACCCTGCTATTGGTGATGAGTGGTAAGTCTCCGGTCTACTCACGCTCTGCGCTTGTTTCTTGTTTCCCTGTTCTGACTGGTCGATTTTCTAGGAAATGTGTCATCATTGCTGCGTACTCAAACTCGAACCCGCAGGTCGCTGCTGCGTGGGCCGGAAACCTCACCACCTGGGGTGCGTTTTCCCTCTTCTCCCCCCTCTCTCCGCCCACATATTGATCACCCACTAACACTCACCAGGCACCGGCAACACCTTCACCAACGAACTCTACTTCATCGGCACGCGCCCCAACCCCACCGGCGAGCCCATCTGCGGCACCCTCCCGCAAAACCCCTACGGCACCTTCAAGATCCAAGACGCCGCCTCCGGCAAATACGTCGCCGCCTCCGCCGCCAACACCAACCTAATCGCCTCCGCCACCTCCGACGCCGACGCAGCCACCTTCGACAGCGCATACGTGCCCAACGCCGGCACCCTCCAGCTGACCAGCACCAAGGAGTACGTCACGTCCGATCAGTCGGGCACGGGCACCCTGGCTGCTATCCGCGATGTTGCTTCGTCTTGGGAGCGGTTCACGATTCGCCCTAAGTCGGGGGGTGGTGATGGTGTGTACTCGATTAAGGCGGGTAGCAACGGGTTGTATGTCACGCTGGGCTCGGATGGGTCGCTGATTAACGGCGGCAAGGACGAGGCGTCGGCTGCTGGGTTCAAGTTTGTGAAGGTGTAGAGTAAGAGGAGAGGTGAGGTGATGGATTGCATTGAAGGAAAACTCAATGGAAAAAGGAGGGCGGTTGGAACTTTTGAGCTTGTTGTGTTCGTGTTCATGTTCCGTATTCTTCTTGTACGCAGTTTGAGCGCTGCGGGGCAGACATTCACTGTACATATTCAGACCTGAATTAAATCATGGTCAATTTCTTAGCGCTCAAGACAAGGCGAATTGTCGGGAGATTAGTGCCTCTCACCTTGTGCCCAGGTCAATGTAACAGCAGGAAAATACGAGAAACTGAACCGTCCGGTGGCGTATCGTACCGTAAGCAACTATTCGTACCTAAGTGCTTAAGAAGAACGGGGACCGTTAGTCGAGTCAATGTTTAAACCCCATCGCCTTTCTTGCTCTGCCCATCGTAACCGGGAAAGCCGTTGGCCTAGCATCACTAGACACTACCGGTAGTGTCTGCCACCTAATGAGGCACACTGCCCTTGATATCGCCCATCAGTTCTCATCACTACCATCCACCATCAGGGCATCCTCGCAAATCTCCAGAAGTGTCACAAAACGGCGGTCAGCTGTGTATTGGGCCCGTCTATGGTATTTTACAGTCCACCAACATGCCGCTCCCCGTCCCACAAGGACACAGACACACGCCCTACACACGTTTAGTTCCTCTCCCGCCTCCTCGGTGCCGCTCTTATTATGTCGTCTACACGGAGCAGGAGCTGTAATTCAGTCAGCAGCTGAAATTTGTGGATAGAGAATCGGAGGGTATATCTAAACATGAAGAAGGGGGAAATCAATCGTACCTCTGCGGCCTCGCTCGCCGAGTTGACCACCGCCCTCTTGAGCTTGTAGCTCTCAATCACACCAAGGTCACGCATATCTGCAACACCCCCACCAGGCGTCATCAGGTCCAACCCGTACGTCGACAGGCCATCGTAGATCGCCTTACGCAGCCGTGCGACGAGGTCGCCCGAGTCGAGACCGGCGTTGTCCGCAAGGATCGTAGGCAGCTGGCGTAGCGCGACGGCGAACGCGGCCACGGCCGTCTGCTTCTTACCCTCGACACGCGTCGCCGCTCCCTCGACCGCCTTCGCCATGAGCATCTCGGCGCAGCCACCACCGAGCGTAGTGCGCGGCTCCTTGACCGTTTGTGACAACACCGCTAGCGCGTCGTGTAGACTGCGCTCGGCCTCGTCCAGCAGCTGATCCGTAGCACCACGGAGAACGATCGTGCAGGCCTGGCCCGCGGCCACGCCCGAAAACTTGATCAGCGTGTCCTCGCCAATCAAAACCTCCTCGATCAAGTCGCACTGGCCGAGCTTAACCTGCTCCGGGTGGTCAAAAGTGGACGCGATCTCGCCACCAGTGACGAGGGCGAGGCGCTCGATGCCGTCGAAGTCGGCGTGTTCGATCGACATGATCCCCGCGTCGGTAAAGAGCTGCTCGGGCCAGTTGTAGATCAGTTGCCGGTTGATGAAGCAGTTAATGCCGTGCGCCTTGATCTTGTCCACCTTGGCCTTCATCTTCTCGCGTTCTGCCCGCTCGAGTTCCGCCAGCTTGCTGGTCGAGCTAACCTTGAGCTGAGCACCGAAGATCTTGACCTTGTCCGTGTCCATGGACGTGTTGGCGACGAGAATCTTGGCCTTCTCCAGACGCTTCGGTTGGTTCACGCCGATCTTCTTGTCCAAGATGAACCCCTCGTCAAGGTACGACTCGCTGAGCTTACCGCCAGCCTTCTTGATGATCTGAATGTTGCTGAGATCGGGGGAGCCCTTTAGCCGCAGCACGGCCTCAACTGCCAACTTGGAAAAGTGGTCCCGATCCTGGGCGAGCACCTTGGAACTGAGAGTTGTCCGGGCAATTGCTTGGAGATCCTTCTTGAACGCTTCTGGGTTGTTGCTATGGTCCACCGCAGACCCCTCCAACGCCTTCAGCGCTGCTTGACTCGCTATCCGATACCCTTCGATGATGGTCTGGGGGTGGATCTTTTGGGAAACGAGCTTCTCGGCCTCGCGCAGCAGTTCGGCCGCCAAGACAGCAACCGATGTAGTGCCATCACCAACCTCGTCATCCTGGACTTTGGAAATATTCACCAGAACCTTCGCCGCCGCGTTGTCGAGGGCAATAGCTTTCAGGATCGTCGCGCCGTCGTTCGTGACCATAATCTCGCCAGTCGACCTATTATGTCCCTGAATCAGACCCGAGTTCCCCTTTCTCACCCATATAGCAAAACCCTAGAAGCAACCTACGCCGACTGCAAAATTTTGTCCATGCCCTTGGGGCCGAGTGTGCTCTTCACCAGATCGCCCACGGCAATCGCGCCCACAAACGCGGCGAGACGCGCATTTTCGCCCTTTTCCTGTGTCGTGCCCTCCTCGAAGATCTGGGTGGGGTTGAAAGAGGCCTGTAATGTTTGTGAACAGCTGCCCAAGAATTTATTCCAAACTTCGAAAATGCTAGAAACCTCGGTGAAAACATACCATGATGTCGGCGGAGCTCAAACTTGGGGACAGTCAACAGAACGGTTTCCTGGTTGAGGTCCGCTGAAGTGACGGTTCCAGAATGGCGGGGAGGAGGGGCAGCTTGGAGACCAGGCAGGCGCTGTCACAGTCAACAGAAGCTGCTGGACTTTTTGCCCAGGCACTGGCAAAATTTGGAGCAGCTCTCACCGCCTTTGCACAGTGGGCAGCAAGCAGAAACAATCACCTCCATCCAACTTCATCTCGAGATATTGAGAATCCGAATTGTTCTGATACTGTTTAGTTTAGTATACGGCCTCCAACCAGAAGTCTCCTTCCCAAAAACTGCTGAAGGCGTGTGCCGTATCGCAAGATATTTATTGTTCAAATACCGGGTGCACTAGGGCGTTTCGCTAAACAAACAAGCCTAGTGGGGCATTTTCCCGCTCCCATCTGGCTGAACCCCACCACGTTCTGCGCAGCGCACAAAATCTCGTCAATTATCCCGACGACGAAGATCCCAAGGCCCCCGCAGTCCGAACAACAAGCATACTACATCGGCGACGCATCGAAATTTTTTCGTTTCGAAACTGCCCATCTCGTACGGACTCGCCGGACTAATTGCCCAGCATGGCGCCGTCCTTCGACCACCTCCGCGACGAGGACCTCGACGATGAGGATTTCGATATGGATGAGGTCGACATTTCCGACCTTCGCGAAAAATACGAGGTCCAACTTGAGCAAGGCTATGATACCTTCGTCGTCGTAGATGGCCTGCCAGCCGTTACCGAGGAACTGAAGCCGAAGCTCATCAAGTTCCTGCTGAAGAAGCTCAACTCGGTCGGCCGGACAAGCGAAGATGCCATTTACATGCCGATGGGCGACGACGGCAAATCGCTAAGGTATGCAGCGTGTCGGTGGCGTTGGGATGCATGATTCCAAGGCCGGCACCACTACTTGGGGTTGGACCAGGAGTTTAAACTTGGCTTTCAAAACTGACGCCGTCCTCTATGTAGATTCGCTTTCGTCGAGTTCTCGTCTGCCGCCGAGGCTGCCGCGGCGGTACGCCAACTAGATTTTGTCCCTCTCGATAAGAAGAACACCCTGCGCGTGAACAAGCTTACAGACGTCGACCGGTATGGGAGAGAAGGCCGCATTGACGAGGAGTACACGCCCCCCGCCATCGACGAGTTTGAAGAAAAGGAACACCTCCGTTCCTTCATGGCGGATCCGAGTGGCCGGGGAAGGGACCAGTTTGTCATGTTCCGTGGAGAGACGGTCGGCGTGTTTTGGAACAACGAGAAAGATCAACCAGAGAACGTCGTGGACCGGCAACAATGGACTGAGACCTTCGTTCAGTGGTCTCCCCTGGGAACATACCTGACATCGGTACACGCACAGGGTGTGCTCCTCTGGGGTGGCCCGTCGTGGGCCAGGCTGAGGCGCTTCCCCCACCCGTTCGTCAACCTCGTCGCATTCTCGCCCAACGAAAAGTACCTCGTCACATGGTCAAACCGGCCTATTTCCATTCCCGACAGCGGCCACCCCTCCCTCTCTCTGGACGATGATGGCAAGAACTATGTCATTTGGGATATCGAGACATCCAAGCCGCTACGGTCTTTTGCGCAACAAGACACACCAGCAGCGGGCGACGATCCGGCCAAGAAGCCGGCCAAGTTTCCCTGGCCCGCGTTCAAATGGTCAGCCGATGACAAGTATGTTGCGAGGCTGAACCAAGGCACCTCTATTTCGGTATACGAGCTCCCGAAGATGAACCTTTTGGACAAGACGGCCATTAAGATTGAGGGTGTGATGGACTTTGAGTGGGCGCCGGCCACGCCGCGCCGGGACGGCGTCAAGGCCTACGAGCAGCTCTTCTGCTTCTGGACGCCCGAGATTGGCAGCAACCCGGCGAGAGTTGGCTTGATGAGCATCCCCTCGAAGCAGATCGTCCGTTCCCTCAACCTCTTCAGCGTATCGGACGCCAAGCTTCACTGGCAATCCGATTCCTCGTATATCTGTGTCAAGGTCGACCGCCATTCCAAATCGAAGAAGTCGCAAGCCACCACTCTTGAGATCTTCCGTGTCAAGGAAAAGGGCGTTCCTGTCGAGGTTGTCGACACCATTAAGGATACGGTCATCAACTTTGCGTGGGAGCCCAAGGGCGATCGTTTCGTGATTATCACCACGACCGAGCCCGTCGGTGTCACCGCCGTCCCGCCCAAAACTTCCGTCGCTTTCTTCTGCCCCGAGAAGGCCAAGGGCAATGCGGTTGGCAACTTCAAGCACCTGCGGACCCTAGAGAAGAAGAACAGCAACGCCATTTACTGGTCGCCAAAGGGCCGCTTTGTCGTCGTCGCTACCGTTGCCAATACCCAGAGCTCTGACCTCGACTTCTTCGATGTCGATTTCGAGGGCGAGAAACCGGAGGGTGAGAAGGACCTCACTGCCAACCTGCAGCTGATGAACACCTCGGAGCACTACGGCATTACCGACATTGAGTGGGATCCCTCGGGCCGCTACGTCGCCACCTGGGCGTCGGCATGGAAGCACTCGGTAAGTCACGCTGATTTAGCGTCAATAAAATAAAATGATCTCCATATTGGCGATGACTAACACGCTCCCGCAGATGGAAAACGGCTACCACCTCTATGACTTCCGTGGCGAGCTGCTGCGCGAGGAGCCTGTTGAAAAGTTTAAGCAATGGGCATGGCGCCCGCGCCCGCCGACTCTCCTGACCAAGGAAGAGCAAAAACAGGTCCGCAAGAACCTGCGCGAGTACTCCCGCGTGTTCGAGCAGGAAGACGCCGAGCGCATCAGCAGCGCCGATGTGGCGGTCGTCGAGGCCCGCCGCCGCCAGCTTCTCGACTGGTACAGCTGGCGCGAGACCACGGAGGAGGAGCTCATCGAGGAGCGCCTCGCTCTCGGCTTGCCCGAAAACCCGCTCGCCGAGCTTCTCAAGGAGAAGACAGCCGAGGTTGCGACCGTCGTCGGCGAGGCAGAGGAACAAGTTATCGAGGAGATCATGGAGGAGGTTCTCGAGGAAACGGAGGAAATTGTCAACTAGAGACGGCTTCTCCCGGAAATATTCCCCTTTTCTTCTTTCTTTCCATAGGGCTAGGTCTTCCAAAAGTGCCACGGCTCTCTCTGTCTATGTGTCTGGAAGTGGCGAGGTTTGGGGCATGGCAGGTTACGCGTTCAATTTGATCGGAATTTTGATCCGTTTGTCTTGCTGCGGTAAAAGAGAAAAAGGAAGCAAGAGAATAATGTCGTTCTGTACCCCTTTCCCCTCAGCCCCTCCCCTGTTACCGTGACCGCCGCACAAGCTAGGTTATTGGTGTACATTTCCAAAGTGTGTTCATTTCCATGATATCCGTCTGTAGCCCCTCTCTCTTCCCTAGGTACCTCGTGGGAACACCCACAACGTCGGACGCCCTCCCGTTGATGCAAAGCCCCGACGTCGTTCGTCCGTTTGCATCATCCCACGCGGCGAGGGGAGCTGGTGGGTTACGCATCTACCCGATGAAAAACCTGAGCTCTTCCGTTATTACGAGGAAAATTGCCAATGCCGGTTCGTTCGTCCTCTCGCAGCCCTCATTATTCCATCTTTGCCCGTTTAGGTCCCGCTCGAAGGCCGAGTATTTACACTGCTTCGCGTTCGTTAGAAGTCGATAGATCCCGCGAGCTCTCGGGTCCCGACAGATCTCATTTCTAGGTTCTTCCGGTCTAGATGAAAGACTCCAGACGTCAAAAACACGAGGCTGGGGCCACGGGTCACTCTCTTCTGTGTCAACAACCACGGCACATGGTTGTCTGATCCTTCTCTCCCGGCAAACAGAAAACTTTCTTCCTCAAAAGAACGGGGCCAGTCGTTCACTAGGAGGGGCCATGTAACGAGCAAGGGAGAGTGTTGACAATTTTGTGCCCGACATGCCCTTGATACTCCCCACCCGAAGTCATCAAGCCGGGTTTCGAAAATGAAGGGGGGGTGGCCGCTCGCTCACGCGAGCAAGCAAACGACATCACGCTTTCTGGGACGTTCGTTTCGTTGGTTTCCAATCGGATCCATCGGGTCGTCGCGTCGGGTAATCAGTCGCGTCCCAGGTCTTGATCATCCGCGTCGACGTGAGTAAAGATATCAACGATTTTCGTGGCTGGGTAGGAGTTGGCGGTTTGCCCTAGAGGCTTGAGACCGATTTCTATTTAACCACCGCCCCCAGGCTCTTTTACAACGACGGCCAGCTCCCCCAAGCTTTGTTTTTCATTATCAAGCCCAGCTCAGTACACACCAGCAACGCAGACTCAGGGCCCAGCCGTCCGGGATGCATCCCAGGTTGGAGCAGTGCTGGGAGCTCACTAATGCTGGGAAGACTATTCACGACTTGGACACCGTGTACCGCATGACCCAGCAGTCTTTCAAGGACAGCAAAGCGGAACAAGCTAAGCCCGGTTACAAACCCCCTACTAAACCGAACTTCCATCCCGCCAGGACCAGTCCTCGCAGACCCAAGCCCCCCATCCACCCCGAAGACTTGAGGCGTGCACTGCAAAAGGACAAGGCCGCTGAGGACGCAATCCGCAACGCCCCAAGACGGTTGGGCCCGGTTCGTACCCATGGATCTGCTGATAAAGTATTGCCTGTTAGCTAACATCTGTCTAGCCACAAGCCCCCTTTATCAACACCTGGAGAAGCAGTGCTCAAGGAGGGCAACAACCACTGGGCCCCCATCGCCCCACCCAACCTCAGTCCACCGCCATCACGGTATACGGCGGTCAACAAACCATGGCGAGCCACTCAGCAGTCGTCAGAAACCAACCTCCTCGCATCCAAATAGGAGGCCCGCCTGCTCGGCAACCGTACCAGAGTATGGCTGAAGCTAGGGCTCGTCTGCTTAGCATCAATCAGCCGGGGAACCAACAACGAGTCAATCAGCCAGGGAACCAGCAGCGAAACAATCCTCCAGCCGACCCCAGCAAGCGGAGAAGCTACCCTGCCGGCGGCCGCCCTACGCACAACCATCACCTCCGTAGAGACCGGCGGTCCCTGAGTCGCGGACGCAGACACTGGTCAAGAGGCCGATCATTAGGCCCTCGTCCAGTCAACAGGCGCTCAGCCACACGTTCACCTCAACGCCAGGTAAGGGAAGCGGCCGACCGTGGGAAAAGCCAGGCCAGAGAACTTCCCACCGGGAACCGGCCGGCCAACCACAACGGAACAACCACACCCGCCAATGTGAGGGCCGGAGAGTCAAGGACAGATGCTCAACAGCCCAGGGAATCATCCGGCCAGGCACAGGCCCAGAACTCAACCGGAGGCTCAAACCCAACTGAGCATCGGGCTAATCGTGTGTCGACTCCGAGGCCCAACTCCCCGGTCATCAAGAGGGAGCGCAGCGTCAGCCGGACGCCGTTTGTGAGATCAAGATTCCAGCCAGTGCCAGTATCCGGCCCAACGATCCCGGCACCAAACCTCACTGGCCAGATGATTACCCTGCCGGAAGCCCCAGGGGCCCCGAGAGCCTCGGTAGTGCATGCTCAGACGTCGTCGCAAGCAGGGTCACACCACGCACCTCAGTCAATTTCTCATGCCGTCGCTCTACGGCCAGCTTCCAATGCTCTCGCTTTGCGGCCTGATCTTCAGGGCCACGGAGCCCAGGTCACTGGCCCAGAGGTAGCAGACAGGGTGTACGCCATTTGCCTCAATCTGACGGACGAGATGAGGGGTGAGAACCGGGAACTGCAGCGGCAATATGGCCGAATCATGGAAAAGCTGGACAACCAGTCGGAAATGGTAAGTGGTACTCGGATTCTACCCACACCTAAGATGCATCACACTAACAACATTGACAGCTCGTGAACCAGCAAGCCTGGATGGACTCGCGTCCTACCGTGATGGACAGCATCGAGAGGCACCGTCATCAGAGCCCTGTCAGCCTTGGACTAGATTACGTTCATGATGTGGCCGGCAACCACAGCGATGACGGTAGCTCGGTGCTGCCCTCTACGGAATCTGATGAGCTGCCAGGTGGCTCGTGGCGGAAACGGAAGCGCAAAGCTGCGGAGAGGGGAGAGTTGTCATCTGAGTATGGAGGTCCCGGGAAAAAGAAGCGTCAGAGTCGGGAAGAGGAGAGCGATGACGACATGGCAAGCAAGAATAAGAAGAAGAAGAAGTGGAGGAAGTGGAAGGCAAAGAAGGCAAAGGCGAAAGAGAAGAGGAAGGAGAGACAGGAGAAGGAGGCTGAAATCGAGGAAGAGCAAGGAAAGGAGGAAAAGGAGAAGGCCAAAAAGACGAAGCAAAAGGAGAAGCAGGCCAAAATAGAGAAGGAGAAGGGGAAGGAGGAGGAAAAGGTAAAGGGCAGGAAGACGATGAAGAAAAAAAAGGAGAAGCGGGCTAAAATAGAGAAGGAAAAGGAGGAGGTGGTAGTGGTGGAGGAGGAAGAAGAACAGGAGGAAGAAGAGGCGGAAGAAGAGGGGGGAGAAGAGGAGGGAGAAGAGGAGGAGGCGGAGGAAGGGGAGAAAGAAAAGGAGAAAGAAAAGGAGAAGGAGAAGGATAGGGTCAACGGGAGGAAGGTAAAAGAGACGCCCGTAGAGAACCCGTACATGGAGCGAATCATGTGGGAGAAGCTTCGTCACCAGCTTATCGGCGCGCTCAATGTAGCGATGAAATTTAGATGAGATTCTAGGCCAAATGACCGCAAAAGGAAAGTTTTTTCAAAGGTCTACGGACAAGGGGTAGTAACTTAGGTAGGTATGTCGTTCAGTCGAATGGGTTGAGTGGCCTGAGAGTCGAATCGCGGTTTCAATATCTGTGTCCTCAAAATTTTACTTGATAGATAACCAGATTACATGACACCTCGCATCTGGAACGGGAGCGCAGCAAATACGATGTAGATGCAAATGGACATCGACGCGAGCTTCGAAGCTACCAAGCGGAGTGCCGACGAGAAGGGCAAGGCAGATGCGGGGCCGGCCGGGAAGCTGGCCCAGCCGGGTCGCCAGCGGTCCGGACGGGGTCGGGAAGAACCAATGATCGTCACTCGGATGAGCACCGGTCGGAGGACTTCCACCGTCGGGTCTTGCCTCGGAGGCCCCGCTGTCTCCGGCCGCGGCGCCAGGTGGACAAAAAAGCTCCTGCATGAGGCAGGAGCGCTCGGGCCTCAACAAAACCGGAAGTTTCTTAGCGCCCCAACAAAATGCCGGGACCCCACAGTTTCACGCGCTTTCCGCTGAAATCTCTTCCCCATGATTGGCCACAATTTCAGGAACCCGACGACTCTCAAGAGAGGGACGCCCTCTTCCTGCATTGAACTCAGCAGCTGAAAGGCCCGTTTTGGACAACCCTAAAAGCCATTGGAGCTGCAGGTATTTGTACTCTGTCTGGAAATGTGATTGTTCGTGTGGACACGATTTGAAGATGTCTGATCCAAGTCCAGTGCCTTCCGCTGTTTCGAGTTGTGCAAGGATATGAAAGGCCCACATTCTTCCCGCCCCTGGTGGGAACCGTGGGAACCCACAACACCCCGCAAAAGGGAACGGCAAAAAAAAAGAGAATGAGGCAAATCTTGGGCATCACGATTCCACGAGCCCCTTCAGATGTCGGCAAGGGAAAATCGTCCATCAGTCGCCGTCGGCCTTCAAGCTGCCTCCTCCTTGTTCGGTTGCCCATGAGAGCTTCCATGTGATAGAGTTGCTAACTGGCCAAAGAACTTGAACTTGAAGCTGAGTTTGAAGCAGGGATGTATGATCTTGGACCCCCCCTTCCCCCATGCCCCCACCGGCAGAGTTCAGTCAGAGTTCGCCAATCGGCTAGGCCTCGGCCTGCCAGCTCATCCCGTCTTCATGGGCACACATTCACATGCCACTGCTTCAGATCTTCCCAGATTCGCGCCCCAGGCGGTGAACCTTCTTGCATCCTTGGCGGTTTGGAGCGGCGCGCCCTCAGGCTAAAGATTCGCTCCAGGGCTCCGTATCCCTCCGACCGCTCTGCGGCCGGTCAATCCTAGGTATCGCCCCCCAGGCATCGGCTTGAGTGGAGCACGTCGAGATGTCGGAATGTCAAACCCACGGCTGCTTTAGGGGGGTTTGGGGGGGCAAAAAGGACGAGAAAGGCAACCGCAAAAGAACTGTTCGTTCTCATCTTTTTTCAGAATAAAGCCCGAGTAGAGCTTGTTTTCCGTCCTTCCAGGCTGTCCTTTCCATACTCGTGTGACAGGCTGTTTGTGAATTCTCTTAGTCTTGCTGTTGGCGAGTTGTTGCTCAACTTTTTATTCGGTCGTTTTGCATGTGTTGCTGCAGGCGGTCCTGGCAACCCAAGATCCCAACAAATCACAGGGAGTCGACCCACGGCCAGCGAGCGCGCACAAGAAATTTTTGGCCGCCCCGGCCCAGTGGAAAGAGCCCCTGTCTCTTGTCTGTGTGTGCTTTTCCTCACAACAACCCCCAGAATATCGATCCCATTTCTTTTCCTTCGTGGTCGGCCGTGGTTTTACTCCGCAGGTGCTCGGTGTGTGTCCCCTCAACCCGCCTCTTGTCCTCTCTTGAGGAGTACCCAGACCAGAGGTCTTCTAACCCAGCAACCTACAGATTCCTCGCCATCGTCCCTGTAACACCAACGGGCCTTTCCATATCCTCCTCCAGACGGGCCAATTGACCCATCCCGCCAGGTATCATGGCTCCCGCAACCACCTCAAGCGCCCCGGCGGCGAACAAGCCGTTCCTCAGGAGGAACATCACCTCGGCCACTCTCGACTCCGACTCCAGCGCCGTCGTCTCGCCCTCAGACTCCCCCCGCCCCTCACCCTCCACCACCTCGTTGTCGTCGCTGGCTTCCGACGAGGCCTCCGCCCCGACCAAGTACGGCAAGCTGGTCGATACCTATGGGAACGAGTTCAAGGTCCCCGACTTCACCATCAAGGAAATCCGTGATGCTATCCCCAAGCACTGCTACGAACGCTCCGCCGTTCGCAGTCTGGCATATGTTGCCCGCGACTTTGTATATCTGGGCACCACATTCTACCTCTGGAACACCTATGTAACGCCCGAATACGTCCCCTCGCAACCGCTGCGCGTTGCCCTCTGGGGTCTCTACACCTTCCTGCAGGGCCTCTTCGGCACCGGTGTCTGGGTCCTTGCCCATGAGTGCGGCCATGGAGCCTTCTCGCCCTCCCAGAAGCTCAACAACTTTGTCGGTTGGGTCTTGCACTCGGCGCTGCTGGTACCGTACTTCAGCTGGCAATTGAGCCACAGCAAGCACCACAAGGCCACCGGAAACATGGAGCGCGACATGGTCTTTGTGCCTCGCACCCGCGATCAGTTTGCCAGCCGCGTCGGCCGCCTCGTCCACGAGATCTCGGAGCTGACCGAGGAGACCCCCATCTACACGCTTATCCACCTTCTCGGTCAACAGCTGATTGGCTGGTGGAACTACCTCCTGACCAACGTGACGGGCCACAACAACCACGAGAAGCAGAGGGAGGGTCGTGGCAAGGGCAAGAAGAACGGCTGGGGTGGTGGTGTCAACCACTTCGACCCCCGCAGCCCTCTGTACGAGAACAGGGACGCTTCCTCCATCCTGCTGAGCGACCTGGGCCTGGCCATCACCATCTCCGGGCTCGTCTACCTTGGTAAGACGTTCGGCTGGTCCAACATGTTTGTGTGGTACTTCTTGCCCTACGTCTGGGTTAACCACTGGCTCGGTAAGTTGCAATGGTGAAGGGGGGGATACGATAGGAAAATGATCGAAATTCTAACCAGAGCGCAGTGGCCATTACCTTCCTCCAGCACACCGATCCCTCTCTGCCCCACTACACGGATGCCGAGTGGAACTTCGTTCGCGGCGCCGCTGCCACCATTGATCGCGAATTCGGTTTCATTGGCCGCCACCTGCTGCACGGAATCGTTGAAACCCACGTTCTGCACCACTACGTCAGCACCATCCCCTTCTACAACGCCGACGAGGCCACCGAAGCCATCAAGCCCATCATGGGCAACCACTACCGCGCCGACACCCGTGACGGTTCGATCGGCTTCATCAAGGCCATCTGGAAGAGCGCTCGCTGGTGCCAGTGGGTTGAGCCCACCGAGGGCGCTGAGGGCTCGTCTCGCGGTGTCCTCTTCTTCCGCAACCAGAACGGCCTGGGTACCTCCCCGGCTAAGCTGCAGCCTGTTGCCTAAACGCTGTGTACTGGTTGCTGTCTTGGTAATGATAGTCCTTGATCGCAAGGCGCCGGACGATATTGATTCAAGTTATTTCGACGAAATGACGCCCATTTTTGTTCGACAACATCAAAACTTCGAAGCTCAAGTTCGGCACCGACAAAAACAAACGGTACGAGTGCGACGTTGTCGAACAATCGTGTCCCGGAATAACTCTAATGCCTTCCCAACGATGACAAAAGGATCGGTTTTGCCGGAGTTTGGTTTTGTAACGCGCCTGGATTTCGTTCGCGGCGCGTGGTAGAAGATGAATAGAAGCAACCTAGAGGTGCTTTGCTTTGGTCTCGAGAGCCTGTTTGCTACCCCTCTTTGCCCCCTAACAGTGCGGCCAGAAAAAAACAGATCAGGCATTTGCACTTGAGTAAGCAGATGAATGAATAAGAGAAGGATGGATAGACCTACACATGCATTTAATGAGACAGTGCTTCCTAAGCAAGACAAGACAATAGAAGAATATGAACCCTGCCTAACCGCTCCGTGTCACTCGTCCATGCCGTTGTGAAGTTGGGCAATGTCGGTTCTGAAGATGTGTAGCTCGCCTTGCGTTCAATTTCCGGCAGTTGATTATTAAAGGAATCGAGAAAACTGAGAGGGGAGATATTGGTTATATTGGGTGCCTACAGATGAGCGAAGGGCAGGTAAACGAACGTCTGTCAGATCTCCAAATCACCACTCCTCTTCTGCGCTTGGTGACCTGTCGGCCTCCCTTTCCGGCTTCCCCGCGTCTCTTGCTGCCGCTGGCTGGGCCCCGTTCCCAGTTTTCTTGGGTAAAGCCAGCCGAGTTTTGGGTCGCGTGCCCACGTTTTATGCATGCGGGGTGGCCAACGGCTCACAGGTCCGCAGGCCACGATGGGTTGGCTGGCTTTGGTTGACACCAGGCTTGGCGACCAAGTCATGTCATCATTGAGTGAGGAGGAACTGTCGATCAGCAAGCAGGGCATATGTACAACGTAAGCACTTACTTTAACCCCATATCTCAGGATATAAGGTAATGGACCGTCTGTTGATTTTCTCTTCTACCCTACCCGAGCCTCTTGTCGCCCAGTTTGGCAACTCATGAAAAAGGGTGTCTCAATCCGTGGGTATAATTAGACGGAGTAGTCCTATGCTGACCAACGGTAAGTTGATCTTTGATTTATCTTGTTCTTCGCACTCAGTTTAAGCTCCTGTCTGTGACTGTGTTGTCTATCTCCCGTGCAATTGGTTGAATTATGTATTGTCTGGGGTTGCTGGCGGAGCAACCAGGCCTTCTTAGCTCAGGTCGAACATACGTGGTACGAAATCGCAACGATTCAGGCGCGAATGGTTCTTAACATGGAAGTACAGCACGGAGATATGATATGAGTGTTTTAAAGATCTCCTTTCATAGGCCCTCTTCATCCTCCGAATACGACTAGACTAGAGTGAGCCCAATTTTGATATATCTGAACAGAGCGAGAACAGATAATGTTTCGGAGGGGTGGCTAAACTAGGAAGCTATAATAACCTCCCGAGGTTTGTGCCCACGACAACTCGGGGTTGTTTGTCCTCGCACGAGACTCGCACGAGACCTCGCCCATTTTTACATGTGTACAACTCAGTGCTTCTTGTGGCCATCAACGGCCCGAGAGATTACACCGCCGGCGCACTTGAGTGTCCCCCACTCGTTGGTGATACCCTCGTCTCGTAAGTGTTAGCTAAGGACTCGAAAGTCGAGGGACAGGAAGTCCGTAACTGAAGGGGGCGTAAAGGGCGGCTTACCTAGGTTGATCGTCGATAGGACTGGACCGTGGCTGCTAACCAGCGGCTGGCAGGCGCAAGTCAGGAGATGCTCTCCTTCATCGGCCGAGATGGTGCAGTTGGAACAGTAGTTGGAAAACTTGCCACTATGGAAACGAAAGGTGGTTAATGTCTGTATCTCAACGTTTCATCGAGGACAAGAAATCATCTGCGTACTAAACCTCCCACTGCATCTTGCCACTGGCTTGGTCTAAACCAATGCACATGGCCAAGTCAAACTGATTGACGGACTGGGAGTTCACGCCGTTGTTGTCGGGATGTGAGCAAGAGGCCCCCAGGAAGAAATTGTGGGAGAGGCCGACGCCGGTGCAGCTGCGCGAGAAGTTGCCGGGGAAGTCAGCGGCGGTTTCTCTGGCGAGGAGGAACGCCGTCGAGACGAGGAAAGGAAAAGGGCGCATGTTGTACGGGCGGTAGAGGGGCGGATGCTGCGAGGTTGGTTGTAGGAGGTGATCTTGAGGTTTGTTGTTTAGTTTGTGGGAGAGCAAGTCGAGGCCAGGGCTGGATGTTAAGGAGACTCGGACTTGGAAAGAGCGTGTGAGGGTTTTCAAATTATATAGTTTCTAGAGTTGCCCCTATCCAAGGCTTCTAACGGGTAGCCCGTTCCTTCCTTTCAGGATATGCTCAACATGCTTGAGGATACACATGATGTGGCGGCCGTAACCCCCAGCCCCGAGGTCGCTTCTAGCCTGGTCAAAAACAGACGTCACTCCAAGGCTTTTATCGAGACATTTCCCGCGAGAGGTGAACTTGGGAGCCTGAAACTGGGTAGAACAACACTACTCATGTTAGACAGCAGTACTGATGCAGAATCGACGTCCGTGTAAAGTGGGCCGTGGCACAATGTCCCCTGTCTCGACCATTTTGAAGCATCCATGCTAGAATTGTTTGTCGCAGTCCCTAACTAACTACCCGAGTTAGTCGTGGTGTCCGGGGCCTGTGTCTTTGTGCCGCCACAATGCATTCCGTCAGTTTTTTTTGGCCTAGGTTCGGCAGGTCATTTTATGATATCTGGCCTCGTAAGCAAGGTCGATGTTTAAACCATGCTTTTCCTAACCAAGGCCGATCAGATGTCAAGTTACGAAGTAGAAAGCCGTTAGCGCCCTTGGTCGACTATGAGAAGTTTTCGACACAGGACAGGCTGACTCCATCCCACAATTCACCACCGCCTCGCAGGAGGGAAGCCCACGGAGGCTTGCTCAAAGGTGAGAGAACGGCGTTGCGCTCCTCGACAAGGTTCCGGTCGGCGTTCTATTGTTATGGATTTGCAAGTATTGGCTGCGTTCCACCTCTCAACGCTGGGGGGGAGCATCCGTACATGTGTCCGACTCAAGAATCGGAAATACGGATGCTGTCTCGGGCCTTTTGGCCCGGAGATAAAATAGAAGAAAATGAAAGAAAAATAACAATGATACGGATAGTTGTAGTACATAAGAAGGGGCTGCGGAGCCGTGAACGCGGGCAACCCTTGCAGGTGAAAAAATGTCTCTCAGGAGAAAGAAAAATGATAAAAGGAGTTGTCGAGAAGTTTTGCGGGGCGCCACATTTCAAGGGCGGCTTGTTCCGGAGGCACTGCAGCCAGCATGTTTGGCTGCCAGTGCATAAACCTCAAACATTCCGACCCCGCTTCCTTTCCGCAATCGAGATTGCTGATGGTCCCTCGTCATTTCCCACCCCTGCCAAGACTGTGGCTTGGGAGAGCAATGAAGACTCCAGCACACGTGTATAGAGTAACTACCGAGTACCAACGTTTGTGTCATTGTTAGCCAAGAACATAGACTTCCACCCGAAAGCTTAACGTAAATGGGGGAGAGATAGGGAACGGAAGCCTGGCTTTCGGAGATCGTAGCGCAATGTTCGGCCACAAACTTGGGGCGTTTGTTCAGGCACGCGTTCGGCATGTGAGGTACTTGGAAAAACTGATTTGCTGGCTCTGCAAGCACCACATCATTCAATCTTGGCAACGGCAAGCCACACCTGCTTCCCTCTCTTCAACTTGTTTCATCAACCGACGGCGGGAAAATCATAGGCTTCGCGTCTTCTAACCACAACTAGGTAGGTGCGTGTGCGCTGGCACCTGGCCCGATGCGAGACCACCGGGCCACTTTCGGGAGTTGGTCTGGAATACACATAGCTAGCGATATCAGACGATTATTCAGGGCCTTGGAAAACGGCCGCCGCAGGAAACGGTTTCGAGGCCGACGTTGCTCGGCCAGTGCTCACCCAACTTATGTTCCCCGCCGCAATGTTGAGGCTTGGACTGCCCGCCGCCTACCAGGGGAGATTTTGACTTGTTTCCGAATCCAACGCTGAAATCTCTAATTCCGGGTTCACGGGAGAAACCAACCCTCTCGCGTTCTCAGCTTGCCCACGCTCTCCACGTTTTTTGTTGTCGCCCTATCGGGCCAGAAATCCAAAAATGGAGCTTTCTCCACCGACAATCGACAATGAGCGCGGTGGCCCCGCCGATCGCTGCAGCTCATCGGGGGGATGTTGGCAAAAAAACATTGCGAGGCCGCCCTCTGTGCCCGGTGTTGTCAACTTGGGATTTGCAGGATTCGCGGCGCCGCCCAACCGCAAATGCCGACCAGCCGGACACGCCTCGAAAAACATTACCTGATGAGAAAGAAGGTGGGAAAAGAGACCCGCGAAAGCCGAGAGCATGAGCGATTCACCTCGGAGCCTGGAACCGAAGAAGTTTGTTCCGGTGGAAGTTGGCGCGAAAACAGGCAAAGAATGGAAGGGAAGGCCATGTCAGTCGTCTGATATCACCATTCATTCGGTCTGTCAAGTCCAGCGGAGTTGTGCCTTGATTTTGCAAGGTTGCTTGGGCCGACGCTGTGGGGGAGAGCTTCGATAGGCCCAGACCTGCAGCAAGCCTCCACTCTGAATTTCCGTCCCGCGCGGTTTCTCCGCCCCTCTTTGGATTTGTAGCTGGAAAACCTGAGGGAGGAAGACGCTGCCGAGGGCGTGAGGACGCTAGCCTTGTTCCGTCAGCGCTCACGCTGTTGTTGCCCTTGGTTTTTTTCCTGTTGATTCTCCCCAATCTTGGCCGCTATTACGCCTTCTGTTCCCTTTTTTCGCACCATATCATCACCACCGAGTCCGGCCGTCGCTCGTTTGCCGTCCACTCGCTAGCTCTTTTTCTTCTTCTGCTTTTTTAGGGTAGCATACACGCCCGATAATTCTTGTACATTCGCTAGCTCACCATTCCTATACACACTCACGCCTGCATCGCATCCGCGCGCCATTCGTTCAAGAGCTCCCTGGCGGTAAATCGACAAACGAGCAACGGGAAACATACCCCGGCAACCAGGACCATTCGTCCAACCACCCGATTCTTCCTTCGCTCAATCGCCCATACATACCTATTAATACGTATTTACAACTTACAACTTGTTGCGTTCTTCGTTTCGAATTGCAGTTGTACCGCAAGTTGTTCCTTCATCGGACGGCCCATTTCGTGGACCAAGCGGCATTGTGAGACACGCTCTCCGGCATCCAGGGGCTAGCCGCTCGCATATTCTGTCCGGATCCCACGACCTACCGATCATCCACGGCACCACACGCCTGGTACACCTGCTACCGCACAGGCTGCCGTTTCTCGTACTACTTTTCTCCACTTCGGCCCGGACGGGAAACAACAATAAACATCAACCCAGCAGATCTTCAGATCGTTCCGAAGCAAGGCCCTTTCAATCCTCGTCCAAGGTGCCGGGCTTTCGAGGATCGCGTGTCATGACACAATGTTGACCTACGAGAACTCGCCGAACGACGCCGCTCTGTCCCGACCCGGTTCGCCGCCCGGCATGACGGCGTCAAAGTCCTCAAAATCCTCTTCTCTTAGCTCGATCCCATCCGACGACGAAGGCGCCGACGCGGCCCACTTCGAGGACATTGGCCTCGACGATTCCCAGACCGACCCGCGACGGCTCTCCGATAAGCACCTGAAAAATGCGCCGAACCCGTACAGCCAGTCCTTCTCTTCCGACCTCCGGTCGGTAACAAAACGACCCGCCTCAACCTCGACCCCCAGGCTTCAGTACTCGCGCGAATCGTCCAGGACGCGCCAGAACCGCGAGTTCGCGGCGGCGAAATCGCGACCCAGCTTGCCGCCCCTACAGAGCCATGTTCGATCCGCAAAGCGGGTCACGAGCCCGGGCCTCACCCCCGATCCTTACGTGGGCACGCTCCCGTTCCGTACCCTCGGCCGCCAGAACTCCAAGACATCCCTCGGCGGTCGCCGGAGTCCGAGTCCCGGCCTGGCACTGTCCCCGAGAGATCCTAGCACTCGGCCGCGTAGGAGTAGTTGGCAATCGAACCGGGAAAGGAAGACGACGATTGAACTAGAGCTGGAGTGTGACGAGGATGATGGAGACGATATTCCCGATGGCATGTGGCTCGACAATGTGCCGATCTCACCGCGACCACCATCCGAACGTTCGCAAAGCCGACCTCAATCTAAGGCGCCGTCACCTGAACGCCCGCAGCTCAAGGAGCGGGTGCGGAGTGTCGGCAATGGGACGCCGGCCATCGCTGTAGCGCAGGGATCGCTTCGATCGCCGACCTGGAAATCGGATTCGGCCCTCTCAACCTTGAGTTCCGCCACGTCTAGTCGCATGACAAGCCCGGTCATGACAAGGGCAAAGAGTTGGTCGGCCGCGCTGGCGGAGTTGAATGCTGAGGCCAAAGCATTGACAGAAAAGTTGGAGGAACACGCGGAGGAGATGGAGCACAAGGTTCAGCAAAGGTCGAGCACCGGATCCATGCCCAATGCAAGACGGTCATCCGACCCCGAGCTCAAGCCGAGGGTGAAGTCAGCCATCGCGGAGCTGCCGCCTCTGCGCCGGCCCAATATCATGATCGACCCCCTCCCCATTTCTAAGGAGAAGGAGGCTGTCCTTTCACGGACACGCCCGTCGTGGCTCCCGCCAAAGGATCCTGCTGAGGAACGTCGCCACCTGAAGGAGTATCAAAAGATGATGGCGCAGAGCTTGGAAGCCGATCGGCGCCGTCAGGCCGCCAAGCGCGCGCGTTCGGAGTGCCGGGACGTGGCCGCCGATAGCATCATGCAAATCTGGGAGAACGACATCTTGCCCCGATGGAACGATGCGATTCGCGAGCGCCGTACCCGCGAAATGTGGTGGCGGGGCATCGCGCCGCGCAGCCGTGGCGCCGTCTGGACACGCGCCATTGGCAATGACCTTGGCCTCACTAAGACGTCGTTCGAGGCCGCCCTCAGCCGGGCGCGTGAGGCCGAGACCAAGGCTAAGTCAGGGCATGGCAGCGTCGAGGAGATGCGTGCTCTGGGCTGGTTTGATGCCATCAACAAGGATGTCCGCGAACGCACATGGCCGGACCTACGCATCTTCCAGCCGGGTGCCCCGTTACACCAAAGCTTGGTGGATGTCCTGCGGGCATATGCCATGTACCGCAGCGATATCGGATATGTACCGGGCTGCAATGTGAGTTAACCCCTCTACAGCACCCCACCGTATCAACGAATTTGATTGCTAACCCCCTAACCAGACGATTGCCGCTCTCCTCCTTCTCAACCTCTCCACACCAACTGACGCCTTCATCGCCCTTGCGAACGTCCTTAACCGCCCTCTCCCTCTGAGCTTCTACGCCTCTGACGCTGGCGCCAAGAACTCTGCCTACAACCTCGTCCTCCACACCCTCGCCGCCAAGTCCCCCGCGTTGCACGAGCACCTCTTCAAGCTTCTCTCCTCCTCCGGCCAGAGCTGCACCCCAGACGCCTACCTCGAGGCCGTCTTTACCGGTCTCTTCACCCGCCACCTCGCGCTGGACGAGGCCACACGCCTATGGGATGTGTATGTCTTTGAGGGTGATGCCGTGCTCGTCCATGCCGGTGTGGCGTTGCTGCGGCAGCGCGAGTCTGGACTGCTCGAAGCGAAGAGTATAGCTGATGTGAGGGCTGTGCTGGGAGTTAGTGAGCGGGCACCGTCAACAGCGTCGGAGTCTGGCAATCCTACGTCCCCAGGCACGAAGCCGTCTGCGGTGGTCGACAAGGGGCCGAAAGTGGTTGCAGGCGATGGTGCAGATGAGAGGTGGATAAAAGCGGTGCGGGATGCTGGCAAGGCCTGAATGTTTTTCTTTGTTCTTTTTTGGACACAGTTGCGCGGTACATACCATGCGTAGTCACACATTACTGTAAACACGAAATCAGGACATATCGGGGCGTGGGAGGAAGTATTTGGCGTTATCAGCGTTGTGGTTTAGGGGGAGTCTTCAGCACGTCGATCATCCATGAGGGGATTCATCGACCGTACTTTTGTGGCTTCTTGTGTCTTTTTTTACTCTTTTAGCCTTATTCTATTTCTTGATGGTTTGGCTTGGTACGGTTTGGGTAATGCTTGGGTAACCAAGCAGCGGTTTACCAGCACTGTCCCCCTACCTTGCTCAGCCTAGCCTAATTATTCTTCTTATTTTCGTCCTTGTGTCCCTTCTCGTCGAGTTTGACACGTTGCTGGAGCTTTGGTTAGGGAGGCTGGCAAGCTTAGCTGGGATATAAATCCAAGGGTAAGGATCGGTGATATATAAGGGTGTGGATCAATCTGGGCTTTGGGCACGAGGAACCAAGAGGAAATGGTATGTGGTGCAGGATATCCACAGCGGGAAGGAAAGGAAGGTATCTAGATTTATGGGTTTGGTAGGGGGGGGCTCTGGATATATCTGCCCTCGAGGGGCGCTTAGCGATCTGTCTTTCCCATGTATTCAACGGTCTTTTGTACTCTTGTATTATACCTACCATCTTCATAATTATCTTCGATCCCATACACTTACCCCCCTTACGTCAACCTTCTTTTTGTTGCCTCCTTCCCCTTTTACTCTCAGAGTCTCTCCGCACAGTGCTTTGCTCTCTTCTACTTCTTTACAACCCCCTCCCATTTTCGCCACTTCTCTTGTGGGGTTTCTTATTTTAGGGGTGAGTGTGGAATCGAAACTCTTGCTTCCCTGGGGGGGAGGAGGGCAGAGAGTGGGTGGTATAAAATGCAAATGGACCGAGGGAAGAATTCATGTGGCCCTAGTTGGAGAATAATTTCAGGAACAGGTTGACATATTCAGTGGGTGGATGTGTACGGAGTTCTCCGTACAGATCCGTATATTCCATCGTCCGTCCGTCGCCAAGATGCTTAACTAATTATTATCATCGTGTTCTGGTGGCGAATCAAATCTTGCTTGGCGTGCCGAGATCTCACTCGGTACCTTGACGGCGACGAAGTACTAGCCCCTTTCACCGCTTGGCATTCGAAAAATACACGGTCAGTCCTACGAAACGGGATAGGAATCCGCACTCTTGAATCCTTCACATCCACCCCTCGGACAACCTGACCTACAATGTACATGCTCGGACTCCAGAGAAGGTTTAGCCTCAGTGGTGTCAAAGGCACAGAATGGACCCCAATTCTCGGATTTAAAATGGTGTGAGGCTGCCGAACAGAATGCCAAGGATATATGAAAGAGTTAAACCCCCTTTTCTCTTCTTACAGAGCTTTCTACAAAACAAAATGGCAGCGAAATGATAGAAAACAAGCAACGCCACGCTCCAAAACGCCAGTAGCCCCCCAACTCCGGTCCCGTCGAGCCTTCCCCCGGCACTGTCTAATATGAGCTTCACGCGCCCGACTCGCCAGCCGCGTCTCATGGCCCGTACGGCGGTCTCGAAAAAGAAATCAGTGAATAATGCGCCCGTCAGTTGTCGCGCGCCACGACCCTCAGCAAGGTTTAACCATTATACGTCACCCGCATCAAACATCCCAGATCAACTCGACGACCTCATCGACCGGCTCCGCGTCCGAACCTTCTTCCTTTGTCGCGCGGTATACGTACAGCTGCTTGAACTGGCCGCCTTTCTCGAATGTGCCATCGACCTCCACAAGCCGGTAGCTCTTTTTGTCGTACCTGTCTAGCCTAGGGCGGAATGGGCCGTACACAAAGTCAAATCTCGAATCCGCTTCTTCGAACGTCGCCTCCATGAGGTCGAGGTTAATGTTGTCCAGGCCCTCGCGGTACTGAGTGATGCTGTAGCCGTTGGCAAACAGTGTGTCGGACCCGAAGCGCCATCGCTGCAGGAAGCAATCGCCACAAACGCTCGTGATAGCAGCCATCTTATCGATGGGCACATGGTACCACGACTTCCAGTGGTGAATGCTCAGGGTGCGGCGGCCACTCTCAAAGAAGCCGGAGGCGTCGCCACGGATGTCGTGTTGGTAGAGACCCTCCATGACGGTGAGCTTCGTAGTGGTCCGCGTATACATGCAATCGCGAAGCATGCCGTCACCGGACGGGACATCAGTTTGGCGCACGCAGTCCTCGAGGTGCGGCTCGAGCTGCTTCGCAAGAGGTACCGACAAGAAAGTACCTGCTCCGCCGTACGCCATGAACCCCCAAATCTTCATGCTAATCCAGTTATCCGCTAGGGCACCCAGCCACATCGGTTTTGTGTGGTCATATTGGCTGAGCGCGACGCTCAACGGGTCCATAGCCGGGAAAAAAGTGTCATCGTCGAGAACACCCAACCACTTCGTTTGGGGCGTTGCCGCGTCGAGCATGTCGCGAATGAGGAGGAAGTGGAGTTGTTCGACAGCGGCCGGTTGATGCAGCTTTTCGTCGGGATTGGTGTTGAGACGGGGGAGAGATTCCTTCATTTTGGGCGCAATAATGCTTGCGTTGACCCCGGCATTGCGGTACTGGGCCTCGAGAGCACGGAGATTGGGCTTGATGAAGCCCTCGTCTGCGTCTGCGACGACGGCTAAGAGTTGTGCGCCAGTTCCCGCCAACCACTGAGCGAAAACCGGGAGCGAGGTTTGAATACGCTCATACGACGAGGCGATGCCGAAGAGGAGGTGATTGTATTGCTCTTCCTGCGCCGCGTAGGCCGGGGGCACGTCAAGCTCGAGTGGTTCGCATGGAGGGGGAGCAAACTGTTCACAGTTGGCTTTGAGATTGAGGGTCACGGTCCCGGTCACCAATGAATCGCTAATCTTCCCAACGGCTTCACGGTCGGGGTTATTGTGGGTGGGCTTGATGCACCGGCGAGTGTAGGCCACCTTGTTAGTGAGTCCTAGCTCCTTGCGACGAAGCAGCTTCCAATCATTGTTGCAGAACTCGGCCACGGCTTGGCTCGTGGCGGCCTGGTCGTACTTGTTGTCGGGCTGCGTGTTCAGTTGGTCGGTTGAAGAGTCTGGTTGTTGGCTACCACCCGTGCTCTCCGCGAGGCTGCTCCCGCCGGTTGAGAAATGCGGGAGGCTAATGGGCGAGACATTGTTGAGTCGGTTGGCGGTCAGAAGGAAGATGCTCAGGATGAGGGCGATGAGGATGGCGATGTATGCTCTCGCAGAGCATTGATGGGCGAGCATTATGACACTGTCATGTCGTGGGGGTGGGAGGGTGATGGTGCGGCCCGGGGCGCTGGTGCTGTGCCTCAGGAGGAGAAAACAAAAGGACGGTGGTGCCCGATGCCGAGTGGGAAGGGGGAGAATAAAAAATGAAGTGACGACGAAACTGGTCGGAAGCAGCTTGCTGAGCAGGCGTGACCTTGAAAGTCAAGGGGAAAAGTGGTTGGGATGGGCCGGGCCCGGTTATAGAGGTACATAAGTGCAGGTACGTGCACAGTATCAAGATGCAGTGTCAGGACAGCACCTTCTTGGATGGGACTTGGAAAACCTGGCACGGGAAGGTGCAGCGGGGTACGGAGAAAATCAAGGACCAGGAAGAGCCTTCGGCCGCTGCGATGTGCGCTGCTCAGCGCTGCTCCTGTCCTGTCCCTCTGGAGAAGGAGCGACGTTGAGCATGCCACTCCGTTTGGCTGTTTCCCGTCACTTCCCAAGGACCGCGCGTCCTTGCAGCGCCACCAAACCGGCCATCCCCCCGTCCTCCCCAAACGTGTGGCCGGGTCCTCACATATTAACTTACCTATCTGGGTAGCTCCCTTTCGAATGATAGACCACACTTCGAATTCCGACTCGCCTAGACCCTACCGATTAACGAACCGTCCACCCGCCTAAAAATCCCGCCGAAAGTGAACTCCACTCCTAGCTGACAGCCCGAAGCTTGTTCTTGGGACAATTTTCCGCCGTCGACCACGGTCTCGTAAAAAGACGAGGATCCCGACTCCCGCCCATGATCCGCTAACTGCATTCGCAAGAGCCGACCGGGAACAAAAAGCCCCTACACCAGTGGGGGCTGCCAAGGTGCGCGGCGGTTCCATACTCGACACGGTGCATCGAAACACACTGTGACATGCTTACTACACGGCGGGTAACTCTGTAGTGTACACTTCGGACGCAACTTGGGTGGCATTCGAGATTCCCAGGGGCCTCGCGAACGAATGGGGATGTTCCCAACACAAAACGCTTCTCGGGCAGGAGTGGCGCAGCGAGCCCGCCTGGTCCATGACGGAAGATGGAACATGGGTTCAAGACACGGGTCAGGGTGATCTCACTGATTGGAAAGGCAAAAGGAAATGCCAAGGCGGGCTTCTGCCCCCTCCAGCACGCAACTTGATGAATAATGAAGTGAATCAAATATCTACACTAACGTTATCAAAGGCTTGCGCTTTTTTTCTCAAAGAAAAAATCGCCTTTAACGCATGATTTGTGTAGTGTCGCCCGTTTCCTGCAATGGTAAATCTCGTCCGTTGTTCACCGATTTTTGAGCTACCTTTTTCGGACTCGGGGATACGGTCTCGCGGAACCCGAGCTGATGGGGTGTCCCTGGTGGAGGAATCGCCCGATCGATCCCCTTCCCGCACGCACACATCTGCCGTCCACAAGTCGCCCCTGATTTCTCCGGCCACCCCTTCTCGGTTGCGCAATTGTCCAGCACCTCTTCGGGCGCACCAAACTAGCCGACTACTACGAAGGAAATGAGCAATACATGGTCGAGAAATTTTCAGGAGTGTTTGCAGCACCGCCCCCCATCCCCTGTGTCGCGGTGCCACTGGCGTGGGCTCTGACCTGTTGTTGAGCTCGATTCTCTCGAGAAGCCCTCCTATCGATGAAGGTGAATTATCGAAATTTATCCTCGTCGACGGTTTTTAGGATCGACGGGAATGTTCTGCGGCCTTGGCAGCTTGGCACCTCAATTCGTTGTGACGCTACCCCTTGTCTCCCGACTTGAAACTTGATGGTGGAGCTGATTTGACACGATCTTCCTCTTGCCATCTTTCTCTTGGCGCGGGTTGCGTTGCACCTCGACACAGGATGACGTCGGCGTTTGCTTGGCCTCCTTCTTGGCTTGTTTAAAGTTCTTGGCTCGGTGCGCCCGGACCGCTCCCTGGAATGGGATGCGGCCCGTTCTACGTGTATGTTCGTCGTTGAGCTACGAGGTTACCTGTATTGAACATTCACAAGTAGTTCCGATGGTGCATGGAGACGAACAGTTTCCTGTTTGAAGTCTCATTGGTAGATGGAATAATTACAAGCAAGCCTCCTTGTCTTAGTTTCCAATACCCGTAAGAGAGGGGAATAATGGTTGGAATTACCCCAACCCTCAGCCATTGATGGAGTTTTTTTTTTTTTTTTTCGCTCCAACCCCTTTCCTCCATCAACTCCCGGCTCGGTCGGTGTTGGGGCGCAGGGTGCATTGCACAAGTAGTAGTATCCAATAATGTTAACGAAGCAGGGTCAGAATTCGGACGATTTTCTTCCCCTTTTTTCAGGATGAAGATCCTTCACCTGTTTTCGGTAGCCGCACCCGACGACCATGCTGATCTTTCCATCCCAAACAGCGGTTATCGGAGACCTTCTTTCCAGCCTCCCAAAGACGAAAGCAGATCCTCGGAGTTCTCAGTTCATGTGGAATGCAATTCGTATGTTGGATTAGCGATTGTACACTAGACTGTTGGCTCAGAAATAGTTGGCCAGATCGATGTGGCCATCTGTTTCTAGCAGTGGGAACAAGTTAAGCGCACCAAAGGTCTGTTCTGCATCAACATCGAGAGGCCCGCCAGCGAGCGAAAAGTCGGGCGTTTTGGGCAACGTATCGCCCAGCCCAAGAAATGTAGACTCAAAGTCGAAGTTGAACCGCGCCTCCGGACCGCTGTGGGAGAACCCAGAGCGAGTTTTGTCCGACCTACCGACTTCCTTCTGGGGGCTGTCGCTCCGCCAGCTCCCAGGCGGTGGTGTCCCATGATTGCTGTCTGACCGTGGCGTTCGTGGGATCAGTCCGAAGAGCTGGGATGAGCTTTCGGTTCTCTGCTGCCGTTCTTGGATCTCTCTTTTCTCAAGATACTTGAGAGCGGTACTGAGCAGTGACTTGGCGATGAGCGAGTACTGCACCGCATGAGCATCGCTCTTGGAGAAGTGTTGCAGTACCGCAATGGACGCTCGACAGTGCTTCTCGAGAATGCGGCCGAAGCCGCCAAGGAGTCCAAGGCCAAGCACGAGCGACGAGGCAAAGACCCATGAACTGAACAAATGTAAGAAATGATGAAATCGCGAGGCGTGAGGGAGGATGGCTTACACAATGACGGGCGCCCGCTGGGTTATCGAGCCTTGTTCGATGGCGTCCCGGACAGGTTCCACCATAAGGATCGCAGCATCAACGCAGGCCTCGGCCAGCTTCGATTTGGTGCTGAGGCCGTTGTAGGCAGAAGTACTCCCTTCGGACAACCGGCTGTGCACCTCCACCATGAAGAACGGGCGGGAAACAAGAATTACGGCATAGTAATATGTGCAAACCACCTGACAAGCGCCGTTTACTATCCCCCCTTGCGCTCCCGACGAACCTCCCTCCATGATGTCTTTCAAGCGTTGAAGCCAGCGGGTTGACCAGTCTCGAAGCTCCCGTGATATGCCTTCTGTCAACCGCGGGGATATTTTGCGCCGCGAGTAGACCTCCATAACAACGGCTTCGATGACCAAGAATATCTGGACGGATGCGTTCAGTAAATCAAACGACTCAAGGCCCGCTTCATCCTGTGCCCCGTACGGCACCGTACAGTCCACATCAGACGTAGCTGGTGGCCGCCCCATGGATGTGCTGAGAAACAAATCCAACACCCTCAGACTCTTCCACAACCGATCCCTTTGCCGGTGTATCTCTGGTCCGAACCTAGCGTTGACAGCAGTCCGGTGAATCCCTATGGAATAGGCTGCCCGCGCGGCAATGCCGAAAAAGAGAAACGCTCCATTGATCTGGCATGCACTCAGGGAGTAGAAGCTGATGAGAATGAAAGCCTGCACCCCGGCAACCCCGACATTACCACCGAGGCTGGTAAAGGCGAGATTCCGCGCGTAATCAAAGTACGCCTGGGCGGTGTGCTCGTCTGATTTTTGACAGCCTATGGCCAAGACCAAATAATTCACCGCCGATGGAACGTCGCCAGCACCATCATGCAGACGGTCACCTGCAATCCACGATGCAATATCATCTGCTAAGTGAGCATTGTCGAAAAGATCAATGAGACCCGCGGTGACATCGAGGTAGGCGGCGACGCAGGGCTCGATGGGCACGTCGACTGGCGGCGGCTCACCTCCAAACGCCCCCGTTTTCCCGGTTCGTGAATAGGCATTCTCAAGAGAGGAATAACCGCTTGTTTCAGGAGCAAAAGCGCTAGCGTCGACCTTGTTGGTGACTAGTCTCCGAACGCTCTGGAAGAAGGAAAGAGGGGCGCAGTCCCCCACGAAGATAAGCTTCCCCTGCGCATCGCAGAGCAACCGCGCTTCGCGAGGCACCTCGGTTTCTTCGTGTTCCTCGTATGCAGCAGCAAAGGCGGCGTCGGTGGGTCGGGGTGGTGGTGCTAGCGAGGCCGAGGCCCGTGGGGAGGCTGTGTTTGCTGCTTGGGAAATAGCAACGGGGGCAGGCGTGGGATGGTGAGACGACGAGAGGCCTGGTGCTGGCGGTGCTGGGCGGCTACGAGTGGATGGGGCCAGATGCGTCGAAGACGACGGCGAGGCGGACGTGGCGTGGGCCTGGGTGGTTGCATCATGGGAGCGGGTTCCGAGTCGGCGGCGCGGAGCAGTGTATCGACATTGGTCCGGCTGGCGACGGCGCGCACAGTATGTGCATGGCTGGGCACCGCTGCATTTGATTTTGCGCAGTTTGCAGAGATCGCATGCATTGGCTACGCGCGCACGGACGGACCGAGTTTCCATTTTTCAGCGGGCAGACAAGATTGAGCTCTTGGGGAGGAACGTTTTTGAGACCATAAAACAAGATGAAGGCGACGAGGAAAGCACACACCGATGCTATGGAGACCGAACGATCCCGGGGCCCGGGCCCGCCTCTAACCGAGCCCGAGCACCGATGACATCCGAATATGGAAAGCACGGGCAAGCACGGGCAACGACTTCACTTTCCCTTTCGAATATTCAGATCATTGCTCGACCAGTTCTCCGGACTATAAACCCCCCCTCGGATTCCAAAATCTGCTTCCCAAAAAAAACAGCACTTTGCAACCATCGAAATGGATTCGTCTCTCTTGGGATCCGGGTAAATTGAAACAATTGAACAAATAAAGACCAGGCGCAGGTTATCATGTTACAATAATTCAGACATCACATTTGTTCCTATCGACAAATCTTCATCGTGCTCCAGTTGGGGACACCGGCTATTCATGATGGTTGAGGTCAGGAAAGCCGGCAGTCCAGGGAACAACTCGGAGGGTCAAATACTCATACAAAAACAATACCCAGCACACCCCAGCATATACCATAAGACCTGTTGGTTCGGCCGGAGAAACTGTCAAAGACACCCTCCAAATGCCAAACCAACCAGATCCCGGTGATGCTCAAGCATATCATGCTTGCAACGACCGAGGAGTCCCTCAAAGGAAAGTGCTGAACACATCCTTGGCGTACGCCTCGACAAGCGTGGCATGCTTTTCTACATCCTCTTCGTTATCGGCCGCATTCATTTCCGTCATATAAATACCCAGCAAGCTTCTAAGCGTGTTCCGTGACTTCCGCAGCCTCTCCAGGTAAGTCTCCTCTTTCTTGGCTGGGCTCGTCGGGGTGCCGCGCCGATGGGGAGTCTGGGAGCCTGAGGGAGAAGCGCGAGCAACACCTTTGCCCTTTGTATCGCCGTCACCATCACCATCTTGACCCTCAGCCCCGGTCTTGCGCAGGCGCGCCACTTCACCATTCAGGGTAGTGACATCCTCCGCAATCTTGACGAGGAAGTCGAATATGGTGTTGTGTCGGATGGTGGCGCGCATCTGATTACGTACCAAATGGTCGCCTGTCAACCTTATATCCTCGTGTACACGATTGAACTGTTCGATCATTCTGGGATCCATGCCCTTGAGACCTTGGCCGTGACCACGGGTCTGGCTGTCGCCCTGCGCAGCATTGGAGGAGCCTGCAACGGACGAGCCAGAATGGGCAGCCGCAGCGGCTGCGGCGGTGGTAGTTGTCAGAGCGGCTAAACCCGCCTCAATGGATTTGAGGCGCTTGTTGATTGCTTTGAGGGTCTTGCTTTCGGATGAAGCGGCGTGGGACGGGGTAGAAGTCGGAATAGGTGACGTAACGGGAATGGTAGCGGAAGTCGGGGCGCTGCTCATTTCATCACTGGTGATGAGGTTAATTGTGGGAGTCATGCTGGCGCCGCTATTGTTACCGGGGGCGGCGGCAGTAGTAGTCTGCGTGGACTCTTTGGCGGATGCAGCGCGCTTTCTCTTCCTCGGCTCCGGGGAAACTTGGATGACCGGCGGGAGGCGATTGGCAACCGGGTTGGGATAGTCCTTGAAAGTCATGCTCCTTTTGGGAGTGAACTCGCTGTACGGAGTGAGTTCCTTGGGCTGGGGAGCGGGACTCTTGGCCACCCAGGGCTTAGAAGGACCCGGATCGGCGGGGGGTTCGTAGTAGCTGAATCGATTGTGAAGTTGACCCCATCTGTCGTTGCTTTGGGGCTCGGCTCTAGTTTTGCGGGTGTTGGCCACAATCTGGGAACTGTTGACCCACGTGCCGTTCTTTGGATCTTTGCCGGGCGCCGAATTGGACTGCTTGGTGTTGTTCTCGTAGCCAATGCTTGACTTTCCTTTCTCGTCTTTCATCGAGAAACTGAAATTTTGGCTCTGGGGCATCGTGGGAGGCGGGATCGGGGTCTCTTTACGGGCAAAAGTACCCTCGGCCGAGACGGAGTGGCCGGAAGAGACCTGATCGTTTGTGGTGGGTGAACTCTTACTAGCATTTCTGGCACGATTCTTTCGGTTCCTCCGCGATCGCTTAGCCCGCTTTGCCGCGGGCGAGTCAAGCAGTCCCTGAGGAATCGACAAGTTATACCTGGCCGATTTGTATTTCGGCGACGAAGGCATAGCGTTCGATTCCATGATATTTGCGGTACTAGAAATCGAGGATGTCGATTTCTTACTTCTAGACTCGAGAGTTATTTGAATTGAGCTTTGAAATTGGAAACGTGCCACGGTGGTGTTGTCGAGTCACTTACCTGCCTTGCTCCGGGAAGTCGACCAACAATTGGTAATCAACCGGAAAAGTTCAGCTACCTGAAAGAACCGAAGAAGCCTAGAAAAGGAGAAGGAAATATTGAAGCTTTTGAACCGAGGAAACGGATGCTTCCCGATGTTGAGGTTCGAGCAACCCAATGTCGATCCAGGTTTGATGGTGACGAGGGGAAAGGAATTGGGATCGGGACCTGGAATTGAAAATTGTAAAAAGCCAACATGTTTAGGAAACCACAGATGCAGCGGAGCCTAATCAACGGTTCCGCAATAACTGGTTCACCGGGCGATATCAACAAACGATCCGGCCCTGTATGCGGAGACCGGCCGGTGAGTAAACCCCCGGTCAAGAACAAGCTCAAAGGTTCAACTTTCGTTTCTTGGACAACAAGGGGAGTTTCTATGAACACCAAGGAGGGGAAGGAGGTGCAATTCTGGGGACCTTTGAGTGGCAGGTTATATCTCTTGTTACTTGTTAACTCCATGGCTCCTGTGGGAGTCGTGGGACGGGTGGTCTTGCTGTGAAAGGGGTTCCTGAAGATCTAAGTTGAAAGCCGACTGAAGATCAAGTGAAACACGGTCATTATCTTCACATATGTCAAGTCATCAAGATCTGACTTAGAGACTTTTGTTTTGATTCTTTACCTATTACCACGTTAATGATCCCTTGTAGTATTTTTTACCTGCTCTTCACGGCTGTTTCCTAGGATCGTACTTTTCCCGAGTTTTACATTACTTCCTCATCTAGCTCTCCCTAGTTTAGAGAGGATCATTTCCCCGTCGTTGTGACAATGAGTACCCAAGACCTCTCTGGCCTGTCCGTCACAACTCACAAGTCCACCTTTGCGGCCGTAACAGGGTTTCGAGGATTCAAATGCAGATAATCCAACTTTTTTTTCTAGCTTGCCATCTGCGGGTTGCAGGTGTGATTATTTTCGTACTTCCAATGGAAGACAATTTAGGCAGACCTTTGAGGTTTCTGCTCATCATACTCTGCCTTCATATTTGGTTGTTGAGTCTGTATGGTACGTTGAAACTTGAAACGTCTCTCCGCCGCCAAGACCTTGGTTGTTCTCCCTGGAAAGCGACGGCTTGGTTCACCCTGGTCCAATACGAGGCCCTAGTCCCATTCCGGCAAAAACCCGTATGACGGGCCGTTTCCCTCTGCACAGCCCCGGATGCAACAGAAAATAGATAGAATACCGGTTTGGTTGTGTTTGCATACTTGTATTTTATGTCGTGGACAGCAACCAGAGACCCTTGCCGCAGGATTCCAGCGGCTCGCTCGCCCCTGACCAACAGATTCGCTTTACGTCAGTTACGAGGCGGGAGGGAGAATCTCGAAAGACGTCAATTCACCCTTCGACAACATTCAGGATCGAATGAACTCGACGATCGAGTCGCTCAGGTCGCACCTTCGAGCCGCGGCCGACCGCCATAGCATCGTCCGTACCCACCGTACCCGCACCCGCGACCCCGATACTCCGCTTCGAACGCTCCGACACCTGCGACCCGCGCATCGTGCATCATAGGATCGGGCCCCTTCTTCGTCATGGCGCCAAAAATGACGGCGCTTTTGAGCGCACTGCTGCTTGCAGCTGTAGGCGTGGATGCCCAGATGCAGGTTGATCTCGATAAACCATGTGAGCACACACATCACCACACCACTGTATCTACCGTCGGGGCATTGCTTGGACCTGGATTGTGGGGAGGGGAGCGTCACTGACACTGGAGGTGGATAGCTTCGATCAAATCGGCTGCGAAAACCATCGCGGCCAACCTGTATTCCTTTTACCACGGCGCCGAACCCGGTCAGACGCCTGGCATTCTTCCGGGGCCACCGCCCGGCGGCCCATACTACTGGTGGCAGGCGGGTGCGATGTGGGGGACCTACGTCGACTATTGGTTCTATACGGGCGACGATACCTACAACAAGGAAGCGACGCGGTCCATGTTATTCCAGGCTGAACCCCCCGTGAACGCCTACATGCCCGTGAACTGGACCGCCTCGCTGGGTAACGATGACCAGGGCTTTTGGGGCATGGCCGCCCTCCTCGCTGCCGAAGTCAACTTCCCGAACCCGCCGGCTGATCAACCGCAATGGCTCGCTCTCGCCCAAGCCGTCTTCAACACCCAAGTGGCACGCTGGGAAACCCAAGACTGCGGCGGCGGCTTGCGGTGGCAGGTCGAACACACCAACAACGGATACGACTACAAGAACACTATCGCCAACGCTGTCTTCATGAACATCGCCTCGCGTCTTGCTCGCTATACCGGCAACGCAACTTACGGCGAGTGGGCTACAAGGACGTGGGACTGGCTCCATGCTCTGAAATACATCGATGAGAATTACAACGTCATCGACGGTGGCCATATACCGTACAACTGCACGGATCTTAACCCAGTTCAATTCTCCGCCAACGCTGCCATGCTCGTACATGCAGCTGCAGTCATGTATAACTATGTAAGTCGCTCTCTAAGACCTTTTTCTTTTCCTTTCCAGCTCGTCCCCCCAAAGCATCTTACTAACCCCTACGTTCGTTGTTTCAGACCGAAGGCCAGACACAAGAGAAATGGCGTGGCCACGTTACTGGCCTCGTCAACCGCACGATCGAGTTTTTCTTCCCCGAGGGTATCATGGTCGAGCGGGCCTGCGAGCTCGAAGACCGCGTGCAGTGCAACACCGACCAGCACTCCTTCAAGGGTTACATGCACCGCTCCCTCGCCACTGTCGCCGTGCTCGCGCCCTTCACCTTCGACACGATTGTCCAGACCCTGCGCACCTCGACCGAAGGCGCCGTTAGCTCGTGCAAGTCGGACGGCACCTGCGGCTTCCGCTGGAACACAGGCTCCTACGACAATGATGTTGCTGCGGGACCCGCTGGCCAGGAGATGAGCGCGTTGGCGGCGCTTTCGACAATGCTGATCAACCAGCAGAAGGTGCTTAACGGCCCGCTGACGAATATGACGGGCGGTACCAGTAAGGGTGATCCCAATGCGGGCCAGCGGTACACGGGGCTGTCTCCATTGAAGCCGATCACGACGGCGGATAAAGCTGGGGCGGGGATTGTGACAATCCTGGTGCTCGCGTCGTTCTTGGGGAGTGTGGTGTGGATGGGTATGGGTTGGTCGGAATCGTAGAATCTGCGGGCTGGGAAATTTTTCTTTTCTTTTCTTTTTATCTCGTTTATTCCGTGGGCATGTTGCGCAGCGGTGTTTTCTGGTCTCCAAATTTGGACCATTTCCTTACCCCTTACAAATGGCGAGCCAGCGATTTGAGCGGGTGAACAACATGGCAAGTTTAGCTGGAAACCGCTCGGATGAGTTTCTCTTATATGTCTTGCTCGGCGTTTGGGACATCTATCGTATATCTAGTCTCGGGACAGTCATTAGTTTTGGGATAAACATATTCAACTTACAGTCACGTTCGCATTGCGACCACTCGCCCCATGTCAAGAAGCATGGTTTGTGACAGCAAAGCACAAAGCAAGAAGTCGAGTTCTTGACGATGCAGAAGCAACGAGAATGATAACTCTTGACTTGTTCATATGTTGCGTCATCCCGTTCCGTTTACATGCCCCACGGATTCAGGATACCCCAGTGTGATCGAGGGGCTGCGGGGGACTAGGCTCAGGGGAGCGTGCAAAGAGTCAGGGACGGGTGGCCCGTGCGACAACCTTTTGCCTGTGACGTCGCATGGGATTCCAGTGCCTGAGCCAAGACAGTGACGCCGACCGCGCACGACGAACTCTTTACCAGCACTTTAGTTTTTATTGTTCAATTCCTATGCTCTCGATATCGTGCCACGAATACCCGCGACTTGCTACCCACCATGGCGTCGACAACCGACAATGGGTCTAATCCGTGGACCCCCGAGACTAAGGAGAGGTTCCAGGGGTGCGTTGTACTTTTTGCTGCCCTTTTTTTATCTTTCTTGTTACTGGCGATATGCGGAGACTGATGAACTGACGCTCTTCTCTTCCCTTAATAGCAAGGATCGCAGCGAATTTCTCGACCCGTGTCAGGAGGCGGCACTGCGAAGTATCAGGTGTTTAAACCGCAACGAGGGCGACCGACGGATGTGTTCCGATTATTTCCAGTTAGTGGGAACGCGATAATTGGAGGAGATGGCGTTCTCAAGCGGATATAGAATACTGATGGTTGGGTTTTGTTCGCAGGGCATACAGGGATTGCAAAAAGATTTGGGTAGGTACGGCTACGTGGTTGCTGGATTCGCTGCTGACCAAGTCCCTTGTCTGTAGATTGAGAAGAGGAGGCAGAAACCGAAGGATGGTGGCCTTCTCTAATGCACGGGTTTAAACGATGGCATCGGCCACTTCAAACGAATGGTTTGGAAACAAGGACGCGAGGCGGCAGGGTTGGTCGCGAATATACCCAGGAAGCTGAGAACCGAGCTCGGCCGGAAGCTCGAAGCAGGTGTACGTTATGTGTAACATATTGGGTGTTCCTCTCTATTCAGGTCCTACGAACATGGTGAATCCATCGTTCTTTGGGAAGGGGGAGAGGTGCTGTCGGCTGATCGGACCTGGGTTGAGCTTCACCTCGGTGGGCTTCGAGCATTCCTCGGTGAGGGTGGGGTTGTCGACGCACAGGCCATGCATCTTCAATAAGCACCCCACCAAAAGTCATCTTACCGCGGGGTCTGTTGGTAACAGTCAAAATCTCACGTCCGGCTTTAAAGAGGGTAAAAAAGATACATTGCCACTGGATAAGTCCCCCTTTCAAAAATTTGGAGACCAGTCGGGAAACTTTGAACGCAGGCTGCTTCCCTCCTGCCGCCGTCATTGGTCCCGCTGGGATAGACAAGCTTCCCGCCCACTTCCCCCACGCTGTCTGGCCGTGTTGGGCGCACTGCTTCTCACATCGGTACATACCTTACCTGAGTTGATCTACCTAGGCAGTCAGCCGCAGGAGAGACTCTCTCGCTGCGCGTACCGCGGCCAACGCAGGCGCCATTCCTCATGTCCTCGTACCGGTACGGCCGTCCGGCCCTCAAGAATAGCGTTGATGTGCAACTGCAGACTGCCTTTAGCGATGGCAACTGGAACACTGTCATCCGGCTAGCCACGAAACGGGCGGCTACTTTGAAGGATCCGTACTATGAGGTGTGTGACTTTGAGTTGGTTTGATTTCTAACATACTCCCGTTATGATATCCGCCAGGTTCGAATATTTGCTCCCTTGACCGACGGCTTACACCAATCCTAGGCTATCAAGATGGCCGCCGAGGCCCAGCTCGAGAACACCGCTGAAAAATGTGCCGTGTTTGGAGCTATCGAAGAGTTAGTCAAAGACAAGAAGTCGCCTGATATCGACACCATTGAGCTTTACGAGTGGGCATGCCGTGACTTCTTCGACGCCGAGGTCGAATATGCCGACTCTCTTGGACCCTTGAGGGCTCGTTGGGCCAAGGCCAACCCTAGTAGTCCCCTGGCGCTACAATGCCTTCGGTCCTGCTTGGAAAAGTGGGATCTTGTGAGTGCTCAGCAGGTTAGTGAGCGAGTGGATTACTATCTGGATGATGTTCTAGCTAGAACGATTTGGTGGGCTACCGAGGGGCATTAACATTTGTTGTGGTTGGCAGATTGCGACGAGTTTGGATAAAGCTTATGCCAACACTTCGGACCGCCGGTATATGTTCTGGAACATAACCCTTACGTTCCTGCTTTCAGTAAGTTTAGGTCACCTTTGACGGCGCTCTCGTCGACTAATATGAGCAGATTAGTCCCCAATGCACCGATGCGAGCCGTAAGGTTTACAGTTTACTAGCCGTCCGACAGCTCGAGAGAGCTGCAGACTTGACAGAAAATGTAGGTCATAGCCCATCGAAGAGTATGGAGTATCCCGTTAACCCCAGGTAGTCCGCCAAACTAGAAGTCACAGACCGCGGCCTTCTCGCAGAGGAGGAGGTATGTCTGTACTACCGCGTCTTGCGCAGCCATGGGACCAAGGAAGAGTTCATATCCCGGTTGAAAAGCCCCAAGCTTGGGGCCATTAACCAACTCAAGCAGAATCGCAAGGTTTTGTTCTGGGAAGCTCTCGAGGCGCTGGAGACCTGGGGCGAGTGGGACCTTATCAACAACTTGTGCCGTGAAGCGTTGTCGCTTGGCTTGGAAGGAGAAAAGCCCTCTTTCTTTGTCTGCGATTTGCAGATATGGAAGAAGTTTGCGTTAGCCGCCAGCAAGGTCGAAGACTCAGAAAGGTGCGGTACTTGGCTTCCTTTCTTTCGTTTCTTAGCAATAAATGACGCGAATCCACTGACACCCACACAGCGCTCTCAACGAAGTGCAGGCCGTTCTCAAAAAATACATCGACATCAAAGACCAGGCAAGCGCCATGTACAAGAAGAATATCAGCTTGGCACTGTTAGAGACAACCTTTAGGCTTCCCACGGGAAGTGCTGGTGATGAAACCGGTGGACTGTCGCCCAGGGTGGCCCAAATAGGTCGCTTCCTTGACCAATACTTTGAGCGGTTGTCTGCCTTTGAAGACGTCAAAAGTTACGTTGCTGAATTGTCCTTCGATGAGGTTAAGAGTCTCTTGGATGAAGTCATACCCAAGGTGGTTGATGAGGTAGGTGTCGTTGGGCCCTATGCGTGTATGTGTGTTATGGCTGACTGTACTGAAAAGGGTGGCGATAAGGCGAAGAAGATTGTCTTAAGAACTTTGGAATACAGGCTTCGGTACCTCCTTTCCACCTGCCCACAGACTCTGTCACCACAGCTGCCCGTCGAGGGCGGTCAACCCCAAGAACAACCATCCCAATGCCGCATATGCACCAAGGCAGCTTCGATTCCGTGTCTGACGTGCCTAAAGAAGCTTGTTGTGGAGGCGGCGGCTACCTACAACCAAATCACAGGCGACAAGGAGCTTCTGGAGGCCATCCCTAGGCTGGATAAAGACCCACGGCTGGACTTGGCCCTTGTACTGGGCATGTCCCTTTTGAAGCTGTCTGGGCTCACACCAGGGACCTCGGACACGAACTACTCGTTGTGGGAATCAGTCGACCTCGGCGTGTTTTTGCAAGCGGTGCTAGTTCTCGATGCTCAACTGCAAAAGACACCAGAGGATATCCAGCTGCGACTACTTTTGGTCCAGCTGTACCTCCTCCTTGGTTGTGCCTCATATGCGTACCAGCTCTGGACACCTCTTGAAGTCAAACGGACGATCCAGGATGCGCTCAGCCCATTATTCTTCGACAGGATATCCGACATTTCGCCCGGGTTGTTCCAGGGCCCTCGTCCGTTGATGGAGCCGCTGCGCAGTTACTACAAACACAACCTCGGTGAGAGGTCGCCGGTGCGCATATGGGATGCTTTCTCAGCAGGCAGCTACACCAGCATCTTTGACATGACCAACTATGATCATGATCTGCGCAGGAGCTCTACCCTCATGATGACTCTCGTGGAGGAGAGGCGTGCGATTCGGTGTTACGGTGGGAAGATCGACTCCGAGATTGACCAGCATCCACTCACAGGTAAGTTTTCTTGGCTAACTTTGTAGGGCATTCGGTGCTGACGAACCAGGAAACATCAACGGTGGCACGGTCCTCGTCAATAAGACCGATTACGGTTCTTTTGCAAACCTGGAAAGCGCTCATGGCCCTCCGGTCCAGGAGTATCTTCGCCTCGGGCCAGGTCTCTCGGTAGGTTCCCGGAGCAACCCCCCTGTCCTTACATCTCTCGTGTCTAACCCTGGTAGAATGAACGCTCTCACCTTGCCTATCTCTCGGAACAATTCCTGGACCTCCTTCTCTACAAGCCGCCAAAAGAGCACAAACTCGCCAAGCAGCAAGTCGAAGCGGCTCGCCATGACCGCGAGTACACGCTCGAGACGCTGGAGCGGCTCAGCAACTCCCTCGCCGACATCCTGCACCAACCGGACACGCCCTCCCGCCTAACACGATCCGAGACAAGCTACTACACCGTCCTCTCCCACCTCGCTGCAGGACTCCTCGTTGCGCTATCCACCCCACGCTCCGACCCCATACCCAAGTCGCTATCCCATCTAACAGCATCCATCAAAACCACCTTCACCACCCTCCGCTCGTCCCTCGCCCCCATCAGCACCACAGAAGAAACCCCAACCACCAACCCCCCAGCCATCCCCACTCTAACCTCCATGCCCGCGCTCTCCTACCTCCGCCTATCCTCCCTCGCGATCCGTTCCGCCGCCACCTTCCTCACAGCCTCCCACGACCGGGAGCTAGCGCGCAATCGTACCGGGCGCTCGGGCGTACACCGTGACGCGCTGGCTGAGATGCGCGGTTTGGACGCGAATGTAGCGGTTAAGGGGCTGGCTGAGGTGAAAGGGACGGTGTTGAGGTTGAAGGAGGCGTTGGGGGAGGGGGGGTGGTTGGATCGGGTTTTGGATTTGGTTTTTGGTGGGGAGGAGGAGGAGGAGATGAAGGAGGAGGGGGGAGGAGGAGGGGGGGAAGTGAGGAGGGCAGTGGAAGAGGTTGTTGGGGGTCGGGGTGGTGCGGAGGAGTGGGCTGGGAAGGTGGTGGAGAGTTGGCGGGAGGGGGTTATGGGGTGGGGGATGGTGAGGATGGAGTAAGATTGGGTGGTGAATGATTTGTTGTTATAGTGGTGGCGATGTGGACTAGGGGAGGGTTGGAGAAGCTCTAGATACAAGGAATAGATGGGGTGCGGTATATAGTCAGTCATCAGGGGTCAAGGGACACGTATCATGTTGGATGCTCTGCATTTGCCTGTTTATGCTCCCCTTCCATACTAAGTGCAAATGGCCTGCTATGCCTGGTATCATTCCGTCCCATCCATGAATGTGTCCCAATAAGAGAAAGTAAGACCAAAAAGAACACACGTGAACCCATCCCAATCCCAGTCGAGCATACCCAACCAATAACCAGCCGACCGTTCAGCAACGATCCATACCCGCAAGAACCTTCCACTCTGCTGCTCCTTCGGGGGACAATAAGCAACTAATCAGTGGCTATTACTCCCACTCCTTCTCCTAGCCCTCCTTGTCAAAATCTCCCTTTTCTCCTCCTGGAGCGTGACAAACACCCAGAACCAGCTCATGGTCTCGACAAACATAAAGGTGAAAAACACGCGGTTCTTGAGGGCATCGCCGCCCCAGCTGGAGGGCGTGTACCCCGGGTTGTTGGCGGCGTGGTGGGCAGAGGGGTGTTGGAAGCGGGAGGAGGATGACGAGGAGGAGAGTTTGGCGCCGGGGCGGTAGAAGAGAGGGGAGGAGGCGGAGAAGAAGAAGGAGTAGAGGGTGAAGCTGAAGCTTAGGGTGAGGCGGAGGGGGGCTAGATAATATAAAAAAGGCGTTAGCTTCGGCACGGTTTGAGGGAAGAAAAGGGGAACGGCCAAAAGGAGGTATAGGCGTACCCTGCATGCCCCAATAGTGTATAAGCCCGATCTCGTCGGGAAGAGAGAGCGTTACGAGGTCCGTAATACCGAATATTGCGAGGACGATGGCGAGCAAGCCGAGGGCGGGGGAGGGGGTTTCGAAGGAACGGGAGTCGGGCTGGTGGGG